TATAACTTCTGTACGGAGTAGGTTTGGAGGTCCGGTGTAGTGGCGATTAGTCGCACAAAGGATGACAAGATCTGCTCTTTGACGTAGTTTCCAGCCTGATGCACAAGGTTAGTCAGATCCACATCAGGTGAAAACTACAGACTTACGAGTTTCAGAACACGCAGCATGGTATCGACGTGCCATCTCTTGTTCGGTGCGAAGCGGTCCGCCGCGATTCCGATCTGAGAGGTCATGACAGGCTTGAACTCATTGTCGGCAACTTCCAAGAAAGCGAGCAGCTCTCTTATCAACACTCGCACATTGCTCTCGTTGATCAGAGTGAAGCTGAGGTCGAGCGCTCGCCGTCTGATACTGATATCGGGATCACGCAAACAATCCAAGATAGTGTTGCGATGTCTTTGTACAGCGTTGGGTTCGACTGCGACAACTTTGATGAGAGTGTTGAGGGCAACATATCTGATGTTGTTGTCGCGGTTGGACAAGAACTTTCCCAGAATATTCACACCGAGTACGCGAAGTCCGGAATCCGCCTCGATATCGAGGATGGTGAGTACTGCCTCGTATAAGATGGAGTTGCCAACGTTCTTGGACGAATCCGTGTTGGTTGCGACCTGGGCCAGGATGTCGTTGATTTGTTCGCTGACGTGTGCGTCACCGCGGGCTAGGACTCGTAGCAGCTGGAGTAGCTTGCACTGCAGGAATGGATCTGTAATGCCCGTCACATCGTGCTCGGGCGCGTAGCCAGACGAGGAGAGCCCCTTGAGTATCTTGACCAGGCTGGGGACCGTGGGTCTGAAGATGTCCCTGACGCCGTTCTCGTCATCCTCGGCTTCGTCAGCCTCACAGAGGTTTTCCACTAGGGTGACGCCACACAGCAAGACGCCGTGGTTTCGATCCTGTAGTAGCAACTTGGCCTTTTCCAGGAAATGCTCCTGCAAGTCGGGCACTTTACGACATATCCTCATGGCGCAGATTGCGGCTTTGCGGCGTATGTACGGGTTTGCACTCGATATTATCGTTTCGACTTCGGGGAATAAGTCTCGAGCCATTTCGACGGAGGCGATGTTGCCGAGAGTGCAGAGGGCGAGACCGACGATGTATTGGTTGGGGTGGTTCAGGTCGCTGCGCACCAGTTAGCATCCGACTTGCACAAGTGCTTCTGGTCAGGGCCTACTTCTTGAGCGAGTTGGTCACCAGCGTCAAGACTTCCTGGTTCTCGTCCAGCAGCAACATGGTCCCCAGGTATCCCAAGCGCTTGTCGGCGAAGCGCGGAGAGGCCAGCAGCTTCAGACATTCAATCTGGCCAAAGTGTGTCCTCTCACCCAGCGTGAAGAGATACAGTAGCTTGGCGACATTGTTCCTCCTCACGTTGGAGTCGTGGCTTTCCTCCCTAAAGCTCGCGCGGATCGCCGCACTCTCTTTTTGCACGACGGCACGCTCGTCGGCAATTGTCTTTGCAGCGCGCACATTTCGGATGAACTGCTTCACTGTATATCCTTAGCACATGTCCACAGCTGCTGGGGTCGCGGTGCTTGGCGTACAGGAAGCCATTGTGGTGGCCTCTTGGACCCCACCCGGACAGCGTTAATGGATTCGATAGAGGGGTGTTGTGGGAGGACAAGAGGTGGATTCGGCCGTCAGTCGGAAATACGAATCAGTCACGGGTAGCTCTGCGAATTGTTGCTGCTGCGAGTTGGTAGTCGGCAACGTTTGGGCATGGCCTACAGCTGGCCGGGCCGTCATTTGTTCCAGATGTCGGACGCACCTGCCACCGACGACAAACAGGCACAAGCAAACGTGTTTTGCACCACTGCATACTCGGCGAGATGCAAGTTAACAATGACCTCTGGCTGTCCTCGTCACCGTGTATTCCGCTATCCAGCCCCCAGCCACTTCACTTGCCACGAGACGTTGCGACTCTTGGGGTTGCTTCCAACATGTTTGCCCTGACTCGCGCGACCGCTGATGTAACCGACCCTTCTACCGTCGATGCCAACTCCCCTAACCGCTAGGTCACTGCATCAGCAGACAGCATGCACTTGCATAGTCCTCGCACGTCTACACGTATCAAATGCAAGCCTGTTACTGTTCCATTACCTGTTTCGTGGCAAGCGCTTGTCCAGAGTCTTGTCTGCCACTCACTGCCCCATAAGACGAACAGCCTGTGACCCTGTTAGTTTGCTGATCATAGACTGGCCTGACCACATCTGACTGAATCCTCCTTCCCACTACACATCCGCGACATGCGCACACACCTCTCTTCATAATGGCCGAGTCTACGTCTTATGACGCGACTGCTCACAACGGGAACACAGAGTTCCACTCGCCGCGACCGCGCAAACCCACGAGGATCGATTTGCTCAAGCCTCAACTTAGCGATGAAGCGTTTAACAAGAATGGCACGCTCCGGGAACCTGGGTCCGGCGTCTCTAGGTATCAGAACCAGTGCTGTGGAGGTGGTACATAGCTGACCTTTTCCAGTGGAAGAAGTACACCCATACCCCCAGATGCCCCGCCTTCCGTCCAGGCTTCCTCTTCGGCGCGGCGACAGATACGCGCTCAGCGCAAGCAGCGCATGTTCCCTACCATCGACTACGTAGATCGCGTCTCCCACTTCGACCCAAACAGCGACTATCATGATTTCCGCGGCTTCTTCGTTCTGTTCTGGATCGGACTCGCCATCATGGTCCTTACATCGATGCTACGAAACCTGACTGAGACGGGATATCCCTTCCAGATCAGACAGTGGGCGCTTTTCAAGGAGAAGGTTGTCGAGCTTGGTCTGGTTGACGGTGCCATGGTGTTCAGCACCGCTTTGTCGCTGCCCCTGCAGAGACAATTCCTCAAGGAAGGGCCCCTGCGTTGGAACGCGTCCGGTCTGGTTGTACAGAGCATATTCCAGACAATATGGCTAGCTTTCTGGACTACGTATGCTCGCCCTGGCTCTGGACTGTACTGTAGACTGACCAATACAAAGATACCCTTTCATTCGCGACTGGAGCTGGACTGCCCAGGTCTTCTTCACTCTGCATCTACTTGCAATCTTCATGAAAATGCACTCCTATGCGTATGGATACAATTGTCTGCAAAATCGAGTGCACAACTAACGCAGACAAGATTCTACAACGGTCATCTTAGCGAAACCCTACGCCGCTTGAACGATCTCGATACACCTGACAAGGCTAGCAAAGTAGCCGCGGTTCGCTATCCGAGTTCCAGTACTCATCTGCACGAGATCCCACAGTCTCCCTCCCAAGAAGAGCCCGATCCTAAAAAGGCAAACGCAGAGTATTTGAGCCAACTGAGAGAAGACCTCGCGTTGGAGCTTGCTTCGCCTCTTGGTAACGTCTCATACCCCAACAACCTCACCCTCTACAACTTTGTCGACTTTGTCTTTTGTCCGACCTTGTGCTATGAGCTTGAGTATCCTAGAAACGCCAGTATTCGCTGGTTGGAGGTCTTCTACAAAACTCTGGCCGTATTCGGATGCATCTTCCTGATGATCATCACTGCAGAGGAGTTTATATTGCCGGTGCTCGACGTATCAGCTGTGCGACTCCAAAACTCAAATGGCGCTACAGATTTCACCTTGATTCTCAGCGAGACTATCGGTCGCCTCCTTTTCCCTTTTATGATTACCTTCCTGCTAGTCTTCCTCGTCATATTTGAATACATCCTGGGTGCCTTTGCGGAGATAACTCGTGAGTTTCTACCATCAAGCCTAGTAGCTGCTGTTAACAGTCAATGCAGGTTTCGCCGACCGCCAGTTCTACGCAGGTGAGTACACGCGGAGCATATAGCGGGAGTTCCGCAGTCTAACATATCATGCAGACTGGTGGAATAGTTGTGACTGGCTCGAATTCTCGCGCGAGTGGAACAAGCCTGTGTAAGCTATGCTCCTGTACAAATTGCATGTCATCTGAAGCGTATACTGACTTGACACACCAACATGCAGTCACCATTTCTTCCGAAGACATGTCTACTCGGCCTCTAAGAACCACATGTCGCGTCCTCTTGCTACGACAATCACCTTTCTCATTTCGGCTCTGGCACACGAACTAGTCATGGGTTGCATCACAAGAAAGTTCAGAGGCTACGGATTCATTGCGATGATGCTTCAGATGCCGATTGTGATGCTGCAACGAAGCAAGTGGGTTAGGGGCCGCACTCTGTTGAACAATGTCCTTTTCTGGTGCAGCATGATCTTGGGACTCAGCATGGTAAGCTGCCAACTGGATATGTATCCAACAAGCACTAACAAATGGACAGATGTGTGCTTTGTATGTCCTTGTATAAGTCGACGGGGATTCAGCGCCTGCATGGCGCGGATTAGACTAGATTGGATTGGATTGGATTGAATTGGCGCACTGTCTAGACTTGCAGAATACCCCTCTCTACTACGTTGTCCAGTACGCTTAGAATGGCATGTTAGACTTGTGTTAGACATGTATAGCGTGTTCCATGTGTAATACATGGGTCCAAGAGACTGGAGGAGTGAAAGTCGCAATTTCGCAAGCCTCTCCGGACGTGTCCTAGTGTGACGTAGTGGCTACGGGCGTATTCGTATGCAGGGTGGCCAGGGATACGTCGGTGGAGGCGGGCGACCCCGCGTCCGGTCTCACGCGTCGCGAAGGAGCGAGCGGAATGCAGGGATGACGTCGCATCAACAGTACCTGCGAGAGCGAGCATGCAGACAGGTACCGTATGTCCTGGAAGCTTTGCATCTCGGCATACTGCTCGCCTAGTTCACGTCTGTTCATTCTTAGTCTTTTTTCAAGCTCCATCTGAAATGCAAATGAGATCAAATAAATCGCAGGTAATGATTTCATCGCCCGTCACCGGACCTTACTAGCTGGCACCACGGCTACGTCGGAACATTCACAGCGGCGCGCATATAGCTTGACAGCAGCCACAAACAGTCTAGGTATTCTGTGGCTTTGGCTCCTTGGTCGCATCCTCTACAGACATTGTCAAAGCCCGGCCTTTACTCTATCGTAACCATGGCGGAGCTCCACGAAGCGCTCGCGTGCCTCCGGCCGAAAGAGTTCAGCGATGTCCCTACCGACAACCTCGAAGCATTCCTACCCGACATACTTGCCAAAGCGGAAATCATCGCCAATTCCGTGCCTCCACCGCCCAATGGTACGCCATACGAGTCGTCGCAACGAACCCGAACCGAGCAACAGCCTGCGACGAGCTCCAAAGACCTCACCATTTCGCAAGTCCGACGGCCACCGCCCGCGCCAGAGCACGAGGAGCTACAAAAGTCGTGGGGAAAGCCGGTGAAGCTGGGTAACAATGAAGCCGCTACAGGCATGAGCGTCTTCAAGATGGCCGGAAAGGATCGGCACGGAGCCTGGTTTTCGCGGTCGAGCGTGCATGAAGGGCTCGGCTTCGACAAGTGGAAGCGCGCAATGAAGAGCGAGTTTCCCGAGAGTCTCCAAGTCCAGGGCGGCCCGGGCGAGGGCAATATAAGAGGCATTGGAGGAGACCAGAGACTGGAGGACATGACTGTAGATGGCCTGGGACAGCTACAAGGTACGTGATACCACGCATGCTCACCCGCCCGAGATAACTAACAAGACGACAGTATACCAGCTGTCCGCCCAGTTCCCCGGCCCGACCTCGCCGCGAGAGTTCATCACCCTCCTCATTACCTCGGACACATGTCTTACCGATGCCTCCAAAGTCGCCAGCTCGATACCGCGACATTTCATGGTTGTCTCCATACCCTGCTCACATCCGGATGCGCCGCCGCGAACCAACATGGTAAGAGGCTTCTACGAATCGATTGAGATGATTAGAGAGATACCCATGGGCGACGGTGACGCCGAGACTAACCCAGTCGAGTGGATAATGGTAACGCGCAGTGATCCCGGTGGTGGCATACCCCGATTCATGGTCGAACGGAATGTCCCTAGTAGTATAGTGCAGGACGCCGTCAAGTTTCTTGACTGGGCATGCGCAAAGGACGACGACGTGGAAGCCGAAGTAACGGCAGGCACAGACCGCTCCGCAGAAACACCCAAAGCGCACGATACCGAGCGGACTTTCTCTCCCACCGAGGCCAATGGCATGGGTGCCGGCGTAGGAACCAGTATAGTAGATAGAACTGGGGAAGCCGGTAGCCAGTACAGCCTACGACGCACAAGATCTGACAGCTCTTCGAGCACCTCATCTTCTGCAGAATCATTTGCGTCCGCTGAGCAATTCACCACTGCTCGCGATGGCCTTCCCATCGACAGAGAGATCCCGACACCATCGACCTCGTCACAACAGTCTCTGCCATTGAATGAGGACACCCATCATCATAAAGGGCTGCAAAAAATTGAAGAGAAGAAGGAACAGTTGAAGGCAAAACTCGAAGAGGCTCGTGAGAAACATGAATCGGGTTTGCAAGCTGAGACCCAGAAGACGGATAAGGAGATGCAAAAGGCAAACGAGAAGCACGAGAGAGAGAAGAAGAAACAACAGGAAAAGTTTGAAAAGGAAATGCGCAAACTCGAGGAGCGCCGCGAAAAGGAGACACGGAAACTACTCCTTCGCCAACAGAAAGAAGCGGATAAGAACCAGCTTGCCAAAGCTCAGCGGGAGCGAGACGAGTACAAGCAGCGCATGGATATATTGGAGCAGGAGAACAAGTTGCTTAAGGAGCAGATTGGAGACTTGCAACACGAGAACACGGCGCTTGTCTCTCGTCTAGGAAAGACCGACGAAGGCATCAAAATCTTGAGGGCGATCAAGGAAGGAGAGAAGGGTAGGACTAGAGCAAGCTCCAGGACGAGTATAAGCTCTGGGAAGAGCGGAATAAGAAGCAAGGGCTCGAGCGATTCTTCGAGTACGCTACCGAGGGCCGGGACAACGAGTTTCTGAGTTTGAATATGGTCACCAGGCGTTGATGCCTTTTCTTCCTCTTCTTTGATCTTCTGTGTGACGTACGTTTAGCGAGTAGGCAAGGTGTGGCGCAAATGTGGGCAATGAATCGATATAGGTTGCACAGCAACCAATGTGGATATTGAGTAGTAATGACAATGAAGGGCAGAAAATGAACGGAATGCTTAGAAGGGGCGCTCTTAGCTTAAGAAGCGCTTGTCAAGTGGATGCATGCGTAATCCAGAGATGCATCTCCCACCAACCGGCCCCACTTGAGCGGCATTCTCGATCTTGATTTGACATCTTGTTTGGATAATTTCTCGTGGTCTACCAATCTCCCTTTCTTTTTCCCATATGTCTTGACTAGTCGACCGTAGCGATGCCAGAATAGATCATTCTTTATGAAGCGAGTAATGCAGACGTTCTTGGCGAATGACGACCTTTGCGGCCCGATAAGCGGACATCCCTCCACGGTTACAATACACAAGCCTCTCGATCCTTGTGAGAAAACAGCCAACACCTTGTGCGACTTTAGTTGCCTATCCAACATTGGTCAAAAGAGGATACAGGCTATCTGGCGGTGTAAAAAGTAGTCGACAGACGAAAAGAAGCAAACACTCTTCCCCACCCACCATCTGGAAAATCAGCACCAACCCTTTAGGGTTTCCATTTCCTGCAGCGAGCGATTCAGGGTACATCCGCGATACTCAAGGAAACTTCAGGACGACTCCTCGCCAGTCGGTCTCCGATCCTATCTGGAATTGTATCTTCTTGCAATGGCGGCCCCAACAACAAATAGCACATACATGACTCCCGGCATAGCACCACGAGCTTCAGGCTTGGAGCGCGATATGAAGCCTACATTACTTGCTTTCCATGGCTCAGGAAGCAACGCGACGGTGCATACAGTCCAGTTAGCAAGATTGATGAGGGTGATTAAAGGACATTTCGAGGTCGAAAGTCTAGAAGGTAAGTACACCGAACCACCAACGACCTCTTTCCATCAACACCACATCACTACATTTGGCCCTTGGACATCTAATTCCTCGGATGATTGAACAATCTGACCAAACCTTCCAGCGCCATTTCCTTCCCAACCTGGTCCAGGTGTCCTCCCTTTCTTCGAAGGCTGCGGCCCTTTCAAACGCTGGATGCAATCCACCGTCACCATCTCCGATATGAAAGCCGGAAACTCTACAAACGCCATGTCACCTGAAGTTGAGGATCTCGTTCGTACTACCGTCAAGCGTATCAACTCCAGCGGCGGCAAGGTAGTTGGTCTGATTGGTTTTTCTCAAGGCACCAAAGTCGTCGCCGGCCTGCTCAAAGGCTATCAGATGCGTCGCGCACTCGCAGACAAAGGAGCCGATGTAACAGAGCTTGATCATCTAAATTTTGCTCTTGGACTCAGTGTCTGTGGTTCATACCCACCGCCGCTAATTCCGCCCTCTGTTACAGCAGCGCTTGAAGCGTCCGGGATGAGCGAGGAAGAGCGGAAGGAGCTGTTAGCGAAGAAGATTGAATTACCGGCATTTCATGTTCAGGGCTTACAGGATGAGTGGAAATGGGCGGGGCAAGGATTGATCGACGGGTGGTATGAGATTGGTGAGGGGAAGAGTGTGGTAAGGCACTGGGAGCAGGGCCATCTTTATCCAGTGAAGCCGGAGGAGAGTCAAGAAATCGGAGATTGGATGCTGGGTGTGCTGGGCCTTGTAGAAGGTCAGATGGTAAATCAGGCGCGGTAACAAGAGGTTGGGCATGTGATGAGCGTTAGGAGCATGGGGGTAGCAGTGAACATTGCGCGGAATCAGAGGTAAGCGTGCTTTGGCTTGTTGTCCTAATAGATCAATAAGGCTGGAATTAGTAGCCGCACAAGATGTTGTGTGTGCTCACGTCCCTGCGTTGCGCGCTTCATCCAGAACCATGAATGGCAGTACTAGAATACTTAGCAATTCGATGTGTATTACTCAGGTACGTGAAAGAGAGATCCTCGCACAGGATCATCAAGACGTAAAGCAGATGAAACCAAGCCAGGAACCGTGCTTTACATCCTTGAATGCTCCCAAAGAAGTCACTTGCGCAAAACAACCAAGAATACGAAGAACAAACACCATCGAAAAAAAGGTCGTGTAAGAGTAACGCTTCTATTCAGACTTTGTATGGAACCTCTAACCCAAGTACAAGTGACACATTAGCCTCTTATTAAATATCAAGCCAACAAGACAACTGCATGTCAATCAGCAATCTAATCAGTCGCAAGGACGTCACTGATAGCAATCTCGTTAGCAGCGAGTGCGGCTCATACCAGCTGTAATAGCTCACGATCGCACCTCAATCTTCTCTATACAGTGCCGCCGCTTACCAGCCAACAATAACATACAACTCAAGACGATTTCAACCAGCTCAGCTGTTACACATTCTGTTGGATTCTACCAGCTTCCATCTCATGTACAATCAGTTTGTACGGAACAAGCAGTATAACTAATTGTTCCTCTCTCTTTGTTAGATATGCCTATAGATAGGGCACCTGTACATAGTTCAATAGAATCATCTCAACTTCTTATTCTGATCCAAGACATTCCGCTCACCAGAGCCGGGGGTATAAGCAGCCTCTACTACCCTCAAACACGAAACTACAGAGATAAAGCAAAGACTGCGCGTAACAATTACTCGGTAGATAGCAATGGAGAAAAGTGCAAGACTCATGGCTTTGTGTTATGCGCTGTCGAGATCAAGGAAGCAGAGACAGCGATATAAGGAAACAATCTAACAAACAATGACAGCGTAAAGCATAAGATGTGAAAGTCTGGGATAGCAGCGCCTTAATCGCTCTTGCATTTCCGAGTCTGAACATGACACAGTCAGTAAAAAGCCCTTGTGATGGCCAGCATGCGCGGAGGGTAGCGCCGTCCTTTCCAAATGTCGTCGTTCCAATCGCGTCATTTTCCTCTCGCAATTCCGATGTAACGATGAGGCGATAACGTCGACTTCCTGCATGGGCTCATGTCTATACGGGAAAGCAGTGCAGCAGACGGAAATATTACCGTTGGCCACTCATAGGGTATCGACGTTGAGAGAATGATATTTACAGAAGCAACGATTATATATAAGAACGCAAGGTCGCGTTCTGATGAGACTATGCGATAGCGCGATTAATGCTAGTGTAGGCGCCATTGAATTCAAAAGCATTCGCCTAACTAAGGCTCAGTAGTGACGGTTGTGACCGGCATTGCCTTACTGCAGCAAAGTCAACATGTAGTGAGATATAGGGATCGTCGACTCGACTAACCATATGTCTCTCAAGGTTTCAGGAGCAAGTTGATTTGAATCTAGTCAGCTCATGGTCCAAAATAAGTCCGAAATGACTACAGGTTAACTGGGTACTTGCCTCAACTGGCTCATGATTTTTCCGCATGTCGCACGCATTGTCAACCGACGAGCGGGATGATCCACCGAGATGATGCTCCGAAATCCCGTTGTGAACTTACTTCACATGTGCTACGACTTCGTTTCCAGGTTCAACGGCCCTTCTAGGTATTGAGCGACTGTAACTCGAGCTAGTTTTGCAACGGGACGCGTACCTAGTGTATAATCCTTCTCCGGCGTTCTTTCCTACTTGGAACATCGCGCGCGAAGCGACACGACAGTACATATAGCGACATCCTATTCTTCCGGTGGTATTGTAAGCACCAAGTACATGTGGAGTAAACTTGCATCGTGTAGTGGCATGTCGGAAGCTGCACCAGCCTATACGGAAAGACTGACAATACTGTGGGGCGATGTGGGGCACAGTAGATACTATGCCGAGGCGCGACCTTAGGTAGTCGAGATCGTGGACAAATGCTTATCGAAATTGTATTAGGAATAAGTACAGTACTCAGCTTAGGGAGAAGACAAAGGGCGTGCGTATTTTTCAAGTACAATGCCGCTAAGTTGGGCATGGGAAACGACACGACAACATGAAAAGGCTTTTGTGATGCAGCAACGGCTGAGCCGCGTCAACCCTGCAATAAAGCTTCATCGATCTCCCAACCTTCCCAAGTAGGGTTGTCGAAACCGTTGGGGCGGGAGCTGCGCAAGAAGCCGTTCCAGTAGCCTTCGATATCGACAACTGGCCGGATGGTCCTAACGTTGGCATTGAACCCCTTACTGAAGCATTCCTGCATATGTCTATCCTCGAACAATTCGGGATGTGTTCGTCTCATGGTCTTCAGTGCTCTCTTTCCGACCTCATCTACCGAATCGTGATGTCGCAACTGAAAGAACTCCTGGTCATGCTCCTTCCTTAGCTCAGCCATTATATGCTCGTCGTAAAGTCCGAGTTGAAGTAAATATATATCGTACTGGCATAACGACGTGGTGCCTAGATAGCTCCCGCCAGCCTTCGCTCGTCTGTGTAGCCCGACAAGCGCAGCGATGGTGCCCATGCAGCCCGTACCGTAGTCGCTCATGGGAAACGGTGGAACGACAGGCTCATTCAATCCCATTGCTTGACCCTGAGCCCAGGCCACACCAGTCACGCAGTCTGCAATTTGCTGCCAGCCTGGTCGTGATGCCCATGGTCCAGTATGTCCGAAGCAATTTTCGGCAACATAGACGAAGCCCTTACCGCGCTTCTTGGCAAGGTGGAGGAGCTGTTGGGGTCCATATCCGAGACGATCCAGACTACCAGGCCGGTAACCATCCAAAACTACATCTGCAGACTGTAGAAGTTCTTCGAAGATAGCTCGATCTTTTGGCTCCTTCAGATTCAGGTCGGTAGTGTGCTTGCCAATGTTTGCATCCACTTGGAAGAAAGGTACGTCGGAAAGGTTCGGCGACGTGACTTTGATGACCTCAGCGCCGTATTCGGCCAGACCACGACCCATTGCCGGGCCCGCAATGGTGCGACAAAGTTCGAGGACGCGGATACCGGCAAGAATTTGTGGCTTGGGCGCACGCGACGACTGGAAAGGAAGAGGAGTCGCGGGAGTTTCAGTTTCGAGAGTTTCTACTTTCCAAGGTGGTTGTTGAAGGAGAACCTGTCCGTGATCGGATTTCTGGAAATCCTCCCATTTCAGGCAAGTTACCCCGGCTTGTCTGATCTTTGAGTTCATTTCTTCGAGCTGTTCGGCAGTGTATTGTCTGACATGATCCTCGATAATCTGGATACATTCATGATAGTCTGTCAAATCGGGCCGTGATCCTTCCAGACCAATCATGTTGAGCGCTTTGGTTGCTTCAAGAGAGCCATGAAGATGGAAGTATTCTCCTGGGTTTTTTGTCTGGTAGAGGTTTGCCGACAATCTGCGGTAAAGAACAGACTGCGCTTGTAGAAGATCGGTATCTGTCTTAGTCAGTGACGACCATCACATGCTGAAGCAGCAAGTCAAACCTTTGAGTAACTTCTTCGCTTTTGGGTTTGACTTATCGAACCCTCCTACAGTGGCTAAGTATGTTGAGAATAGAAATGCGGTTGCTCTTTCGAGATCCACAGCAATGTTCCGTGGCCTCTGAGCATGTTGTAGATCAGCTATAGCAGATGCAACTCCTGCTTCAACCGCCTTAAGAGCTGAGATGGCTTCCGTTTGCTTCAGTGGACTGGGAAAGTAAGGGCTTCCTGTATTGGCAGTCGAAAACTTGACGTTGGCAATGTGAGGCAGCGACTCTTCGGGCAGGTTTTGCCTCGCCTTGGTGATTAACTGTTCTAATGCTGATGTGGTGCCCGCCAATAGGGTGTTGGCTTGTGTGGCGCATTGATGCTGATGACTATCGGTTCCCAAATATGGAGCCATGTTGAGTGATGTAAAGATTAGACCAGATGGGATGGAATGGCAGCGAAGGGGTTTTCAGGTAAAAGACTGGTTGCCCTTTCAAGAACGGGCCGAGGGAATTGCTGCTTGGTGACGGCTTCGGTGTTGAAAAGTTGATTAGCGGCATGTCGAGCATGGTGACCGCTTGCGATCGTGGCAATTGCAATCAGCGTCGGCTAGCAGGTGTCCTGCACGTCAACGGGTTGAGTCTAAAGGGCGGGCTGGGCTGGGGTGTGAACGTGCCGCCGATTTCGTGATGATCGGCAGACATCAAGCGCTACTCGATTTTCGGAACAGTGGCAGCCCAAGCTTCGCGGCCTCGCGACAACCGCGAAGCAATTACCACCCATTTTCATCAGCGAGACCACCTCAATCATACTGTAACCGTCATCCGTTCATCAATCTAACCAGCAAAGGCTGCACGGGGCTCTTTTCCGGGTTGTTTTTCCGTAGTGTTATGGGACTTCCGTGACTCGCTCTCTTCATTACCGCGAGTGCATCTTCCGACCAGCTCATCCATCCGTCGCGTCGGCAATGTACTCCCAGGCATTGACCATCCGAATTCGCACGTGATAGCGATTGCTACCTAGATACTGCCGCAGGCCTTATACAGTAATGACGCGACCCAAGGTCCCACCAGGTACGTCTGCGCTCGTACCGGCGAAACACACGGCTAATATGACGCGTCCTAGACCAACGACAGCGTACAGCACAGGCGTGCGAAAGTTGCAAGAGAAGAAAACAAAAGGCAAGTCAAGCTCTCAGACTCGTCAACTGCTGCATCATGAGCCTATGTGCACTCGGTTACGAAAGCCCTTGGCACAGATCCCTGTCAGCGTTCACGACCTGCAACTCTCTGTTCTTGCATGATACTGCGCTAGCATATTGAGGTTGTCTTGCACACCGATCAAGCTTCGCTGCCTGCTTAGAGCATTGCGGGAGGCTTTCGGTTAGCTCCGCAACCCCATAATTTTCTTCAAGAGCATAACGAACTCTGTAGTCACGCATCGCTTTGTAATCGCAGATATCATCTGTAGATCAGATCAAATCGGCTCCTTCGCAAGATGACTCACGGACACGTGCAATCACGTGCTCTGCCTGGTAGACCAAGACTGACGAAACAAAGTGCAACGGCTTATGCCCATGCAACACGTGTGATAAGCGCAAATTCACATGTATATATGCGGATCGGGATCCTAATTCCCCGAATGAGGATGGACCACCCACAAAGAGACGCACAATTGAGAACAGCAACGAGAATGACAATCCGTCGTAAGTACTTTACGTTCTACTACGCTATTGCGTTTGTAGAATCGTATAACGTTGATACTCTTTGAATCACTACGTCCCTGATCAACACTGCCTACTCAGTCTCAAATACAATCACTGACTGTCTCCATAGCCTGAATGAAAACTCGGGTACGGACACATCCAACAATGAGCATACGCAGGCAAACCCGCTGTTGTCGCATAACCGAACGTCTTCCGGTACTCGTCCAAATCACTTGGCACGCACACTCAGTGTAAAGCAAGAAACACCATTCAAGTCGCCAGGCCCCAGACCGAGCATTGAGCACACAGGTGTTCCAATTGATCGCCTATCTAGCAACCTTGAGAATGCACGCGAAAGACCTAATTCCACGAATGTTACTACACCTCACGATGGTGCGGATGATGTGGCGGAGTTCCCTAGCCAGAGCCGTATGCTACAAGATCCAACCGGTCGAGTGATATATATAGGCGATGCAGCCACCTTGTCCTTTCTCCAGCTCCTCCGGATGATGGTCGAAACGGTAGCCGGTCCATCACCGTTCACAACTGACCCTCGACGACACAAGATAGTCGAAGGCCAATACTCGCTCCCATTGGGTTATCGACACACAAGTCTCCTTCCAGACGAGCAAACGGCTCGCCTGCTCGTAGATGCCTTTTTTGTCAATACTCATGGCTTGTTGCAGGTATTCCATCGTGACTACTTTCTCGAGAAATTAGACCATTGCTATTCCGATCCACTATCTGTGGACACCTCCTGGTTATGCCTACTCAATCTAGTCTTTGCTATTGGACTGACAATGGCTACACCACTTTCAGGAAGTCCTGAAGCTCTGATTATCGACAAGCTTCGAAGCGAGCACCTCGATAGAGCCGAAGCGTTCTACCTCAATGCTAAGAACATGAATGATCCAATGACTGGGCTGGAAGACCAGGACTTTTGGTCTGTCCAAGCGCTACTCCTCATGTCCTATTACATGTTGGCCAAGACCAAGCGAAACACTGCTTTTGCATTGCTTGGCATGGCAGTACGATCTGCGCTTGCGCTCGGTCTGCACAGAGAAGAGACTATGGTCATCTTCAGTCCCGAAGAGCAAACTCAGCGGAAAGACCTTTGGCGGTCGATCTTTGTCATGGATCGATTGCTGTCCTGCTCTCTGGGTCGCCCAACCGCTATATCGGAGGATGACTGCTCAGGAGACACCCTGCGGCCGCCAGACTGTGTTCGCGACCAGAACTGGAGCTTCAGTGCAAAGACTGTATACGATTTCAACGAGACTGGTCCTCAAGCTTTAGAGGCCACCGTCCGGAGCTGTAGAGTGATTGGCGTCATCTTACGGAAGGTTTACCAGCAACGCAAGATTAGCACACGCCTTGCACAGGAGATATCAGACATATGCAAGACTTGGCCGCGACTGCTGACACCCATCTTGCAATGGCGACAAGCGGCGACTGCTTCGCCCAGTCAAGGCGTGGCTATCTTGCATACCAACTTATTTTACTGTCATTCCATCATCCTCCTGACCCGACCCTTCTTACTATATATACTCAACAAGGAGACTCAAAGACACGTCGAACAGTCTAGTTCAAGAGGGCCAAGACCCTTTCATCGTATGGAGAGGTTCAGCGAAGCGTGTGTCATTGCCTCTGTACACACCATTTTGCTAGTACAAAACGCTTACGAAGCTGGTTACCTATCCCGGCGCAACCCAGCTGTCATCTATTTCCTTTTCGCAGCCACACTCGTGATCCTCGCGAGCGATTTTGCCGGTCTTTACCAAATCGAGTTGACGGACAATTGCGTGGTTAATGCTATAAACGTCATGAACTACTGTGCTGAGAGCGATCAGCAGGCCAGCCGTCTTGTTTATATCCTCAGTACCTTTCGAGACGTCGTCGCACAGCAGCGACTACGTAGGCGACAGGATCAGACAAGCAATTCGACGTTGCCCAGCATTGCATCACAACTCTACGGGGTGCAGATGCCGCAGCAACAACGGAACGCCGCCCCCCAGACGACGGACATGGTGCATACGACGAACCCAGTGGAGGCAACACCACGGCTCCATCAAGTCCCAGTACACATCTACCCTGGGATGCAAACAGCGCCGCTCAACGAACCGATACTCACGTACCAAGTATCTGAGCAACATCATCATCTTGACCAAGATCAACATCAAACCAACGTCCAGCATACACCCGCTGCCGCAGGAGAAGATTTTAGGGTTCATCTATCACCAATCCAGGAACCACCACCAATGGATATGGCCACACCTCCCTTCACATCTACTTCGAAGCCACCTTCGCTATCAGCAATGCTTGATCTCTCTGCTCTGGAAGCAACACGCGTCCCAAGTTTGAATTCCGAAGAGAGTGGGCAGGATGAGCAGATTGACTTCGATGCGCTGTGGGCTTGGCCTAGTAATACGCCTGCAATGGGAAGTCCAAGGGCTATGGAGGCAAGTGGAGTGAGTGAGCGCGTACAGGGTATTAGTGATAGTGCTGTACCCATGTTTGGAGTTAGCAGAGAGGGGACCGATGGCATTTAGAAGGTTAACATGTAGGATGTATATTTGTGCTGATTTAGCGTGTGGCATACACTGGCATATGCGTGTAGCTGCTTTTGTATTCTGCGTATCCTAATCTCGGTTTCCTGGTGTAGAGCAAAATCATAATGACATGATTGTCTGCGTTGATGAACATTTTCCGCTGAGTCCCGAGCTTCTCTCACCATCGCCCAGTCTTTCAGTGTCGTACCCTGATTAGGCTGTTGACGACTACCACGTTTTCTGCTGCCTCGATGCGCTGGTTGTGCGTTATCCTGAGACAATCTTGTAAGATCGTTCAATGGACGAGTCGCTCGGAAGACTCGTAACACAAATCCTATATATCGTTTCTTACAAAGCCTCCAAAATGCGTACATCGCTCATCGACTCAAAGGGTATCGTTTCTCCTCCCGCACCGTTGTGCAACGCCCACTGCAACGTCTTCTCCATTGCGCGTCTACCTGTATGCTCGAGCGGTAGCCTATAAGGTGTTAGCATGTGTATTCTCATCAACAGACTGATTAGGTTCCGCGTACCAATGACCCGCTTCCTTGATGATTACCACCTGGCTTCCTTTGACCAGATAGTCTCGAGCGTTGTCGAGGGAGAGGCGTTGGTCAAATGCCGGTTCATGAAGTCCCATCATCAACGTCGAAGGGGCCTTCAGCGCACCCTCGGGTGCCATGTTGGAAAGGGTGCCTGACGGGGATAGAGATTGTGAAGAGCTAGCTTCGGATGAGATGTTGTACAAAGCGGCAGTAATCTCGAGCGACTTCTCCCACTTTCCAAAGACAAGGTTTTCCCGATAGATGCGAATTTTCTCGGACATGCCACGGTCGCCTACTCTCCTCTTGACGGATTCGCCATACCTTTCGTTGTTACTGTTCGTCTTCTCCAACTGAGCGCTTCCAGGACCAGTCGAAATCGCCATGGCCTCGGCAGCTTCTATAGGATTTAAGACAGCAGGGGTCTTGCTCTTTCCCGGCGTGCCCTTGCCGAAGCTGTGGAGAATGCGCAAGAACCAGTAATTGCCGAAAGTTGCGAAGGTATTGTTTAGAGGCCACGGTAGATGGAATACGAAGATGTAGAAAGAGCGTCGGAATTGCCCAGCCACAGGGCCTAGCGCATGTATGCCGTTTTTGAACAGACGAAAGTTGAATGGCGAGCGAATCCATGTCCTCAGCATCTGCTTGGCCAACAGTATCCTATTCCTCCCATTTGAACGTTGTAGACCAGGGATAATACCGCCTGTAATGATCCAGTGGTCTGCTAGCACATGTGCCTCGGACGCCAGTCGCGCACCAATGACGGCACCCCAGTCGTGTGTGACTACAACTGTCTTTTTGCCTTGCTGCAGAAATTGCTCTCTGATGCCGACAATGAACTCGCTCAGCGCTTCGAGTACTTCGTTCGGGCCGTATGCGGGCAGACTATCGGAGCCGCCGTAGCCAGGAAGATCGACGGCTATCAGGATGGTGTCCTTCTGTAGAGACGCAGATTGGAGGAGGTGTCGCCAGACGAGGAAGGAGTCTGGGAAGCCTGGCCTTGGTTAGCTGTATTGTTCCTGAAGTTGGGGCCTTTGATGACTCTGCCTAGGAACTACATACCATGTATGAAGACAGCAACATTCTTTGCCGTTGATGATTCAGCGCCTTGGTTAATGACATAGTGCAGACTCGTGCCAGTGGTGGTCTCGAAGAAAGAATGCTTGAAGCCTGGCAGAGGCTCTCGATCGAGACTCCAAAACCTCTCTTGCGCAGCAGCCAACTCCCGCTTCTCTTCTTGGGTATCCTTTGCCCAAAGAGCACCGTTCTTGACGACCGCCATTGTCCATGCTCCAGCAAGGCTGACAAGTCCAAATGTGAGCTTGAAGCCGCTCCAAGCCAGATGTCCAAGTTTGTCTGCCATTTTGGCGGGTCGCCAGTGTACCGTACAAAGGTACGCCTACAATCGTGTGTATTCAAGTTATGCACCAGCCGAGATTGTTCGTGCTCAGGCGTTGGTCGTAGTGACGCGGTACCGACCCGTTACATATAGCGCGGAGTAGAGTCGACAATTTGCGATCAAAAATCAAGGTTGTGGTATCCACCCCCACCTGTTGGGTGGAACAAACATGGCGACAAGCTGCAGGGGCAGATCGCGATGGCAAAGCAGATGACCCTCGAATTCACGCCGCAGCGATGATCAAGGGTCCTGCGCGTCCATGGAGGCTGCAGTGATGATCGTTGAGGTATGACGTTATTGGCCAGAGCTTCTCTCTCTGCCGTGGGCTGCAAGTCTGATCGGTCGGGTAGCTTTGTCCCCCGCTTAGGGCATAGGGCACTTTCGTGTCAGGGGTGATTCACGTGCTCTATGGGACTATTGATATACTGGTGACTTGCCACTCTACAGAGCTGGGATATCGTGGATGTTGCGGTCGGGCTGCTGGATCGTACGCGCAATGGCAGTGCGTACTCGGTGTGACCAGTGAGCATTAGAGCCTGTATCTCTGTGTGAACGAACATGGTCATACATTTACCTTGTATGAGGATGTCACCATAGATCAGCCAAGGAGTCTATGCTCCTAATGCCCACCAAGAATAAATTGCTGTAGATGAAGCTGATGGCTGCGCCTCCACTAATTTGACATAAGAAATGTCGGGTATCATAACAACTCGGTAGCACATCTCCTGACGGCTCCAATCTATACAAGCATTAGGACACTCTCTGAGCTTCATCTCCTCTTCCCTTTGACTCTCTCCATAACCCTCAGCTCAGCACTCCTCTGTAACCTCAGATCCTCCAACTCCCTCTCAATACCTCTGTTCTTCTCTACAAGCTCCTTCCTCTTCTCCATCCTCTGCTTAGCTTCTTCCAGCTTGTGCCGGACGACATCCTCCACTACCCTCTCCAACTGCCCCGCGTCCTCGATGCCATGCTCTCTGATGAATCTATCTGCGAACTCCTCGATAGTGTGGGGCGATGGACCTGGGCCGCCTGTGTGGTATCCATTCTTGTGGGTGACGTACAGGCCCGGTATGGCGGAAGTATGTGTACGGAGGTTGGAGGAGAGTGGTATAGGTAGTTGTGACGCGGGGATTGTAGGGGTATCGTCCGAGGGCTTTCTCGGGGATGGTTGAGACGGAGGGTTGAGTAATATATCCATGAGGCCGTTCTCAAAGGCCTCGTCATATGGGACTGTCGATGGTGAGAAGTCGACCATTGGGGATGTGAGTTCGGGCTCGTCGCGTGGTGTGAGGGGCGCGTTGCCCATGATGGTGTCTTGGTTGCTCATGGTGGCTGTTTCCCGGTTGCAGATGGTTATGCGACGCGTAATTCTAGGAGGGAAGGTGTTGCGCTCCGAGGCTTGTCGAGTTGATGATATGCGTCCCTCAGGCTGTCGCGATGGTGGAGTTGATGCATCGTCATGACTAAGCCGGAATCCCCCCAGCACCTCCGCGGTCGCGACGTTCCCAACTTTTGCCTGTCAAACCCAAACGACCCGATCCGCGCATCTTAGACGACTACCCGAATTCCGTACATATCGCAGTCATGGCCGACAAACTACGCGCACAGCAACAACTCGAAGCCCTCCAAGCTCGCTACATCGGTATCGGGAGCGCAGACACTACCAAGCACGAATGGACATCGAACATTGCGCGCGACTCGCTTTCGAGCTATGTTGGCCATCCGCCTCTTCTGCAGTACATGAGCATCGGCCTGGGACAGCCGCGCGAAAAGACTAGACTGCAGTTGCTCGAGCGCATGGTCAGGCCAGTTGGGCCGCCGCCTGAGGTGAGTAACAAACATGTGGAGTCTCTTAAGCAGCAAGCTGACAGCAAGTAGCAACAAGACTGAAGAGGATACTTCGGATCCAAACAATAGGGTTGATTACAACGACATGCAGAAACGAGAATCCAAAGCAACAGTCGCTCTCCATCCAGATGGCACAGACATGCGCGAGGCCGGCTCGTGGGCAGCGAGGAACAGATGGGTACATGCTGCTTGTCTATGGCTGTCAAAGCCAATACTATGAACTTGTTCAGTAGCGTAGGGCACGCTGAGTGCCGGTGGTGAGGTGTAGACACACCTCTGCCTCTATGAAGATAGCCCAGTCACCACCGCAACCGGCGTCCAAAAGTCTTTTCCAACTCATGCTCTGCCTTTTGTGACACCTCAATCGCTATCACTAGCACTTCCTGTTGGGCCATCATCGTCGTCTTCTACCACGTCGCCGCTCATTAGCATCGAAACTTCTCCCTTCTGTAGCATGCTCCTCAGCTCTGTGTTCCTTGGATCCGCCAGCTCAATGGGCTTGAGCTTCGCCTTGTTCCTTATTCTTGGATCGCATCCCGCATCTAGCAGCATCGCGACGATGGAGTGGCCATGGGGCCAGACTGACTTTTCGAGCGAGTTGACGTAGCGTACGGCTTTGTGAAGGGGGGTGTCTTGCTCCATGCGGTCGATTTCGTCAATCTCGAGACCCTCTTGGTCGAGGAGCATGTCGATAACCTCGACTAGGATAGAGTCAGTTGATTCATGTCCTGACATGTACCATGCGACGTACAGCTTCCGTATGTTGCAGCAACGTGAAGACAGCCGTTGCCCACGCCGTCGCGTGTGTTGTTCAGTATGTCGGCCACATGGTCCTCGGGCTTCTTTCCTGACTTTGAGGCAGCAGCAGCAAGGTCTTTTAGTGTTTCCTCGAGTAGCTCGGTGTTGTTGCGTCGGCACGCTTCGAGCACAAGTTCGCGGGGAGAGGCACCCTAAATGTCCATTAGCACTGCGAGGCGCATGGTATGCAGGTGCATGTACCTCTTCGTCCGCCATGGTGTGTGGTGTTGAGGATATGAAGAGTGACTGAACAGGGAAGAACGGTCCAGTCAGGTACGCGTGAATGTTTCGAGATGTTGTTTGGCGGGGTACTCGGAAGTGCTAACGGAAAGCGAACAACTCAAGGCGGTGTGAACAGGTGAAGTATCCCTCTCATACGGCGATAAGAAAGCAGGCGATGTCTCCCAGGCCAGCGTGCATAAGCCCCCAATCTGAGACAGTCCGTTCCCAAGTGCGCGTCCCCAGTGGCTTTTCGCTGGGCCATAATCGCCCCGCACTTTGCCTATCCCGGCCCTAGCGGTTCAGGGTCCGCTGTAACTTTTGAACTTCTTCGCCATCATCTCTGACGCGTCCAGCTCTGCGCTCTCTCTGTCGTCGCCAACCATGTTACTCTGTAAGTATGCGCCGCCAAGCTCTCCTCGCTCGCTAGCAATTGCCATGCCCTCGTCTGCCTCATCTGCAAATCAATCGCACCCAACACTAACAGCCATAGTCTGCCCAACATGCAGCAACATGCTTCGCGTGTCCAAAGTACCCCCCGGTGACCCTACAACCGAAGACTCTGTCGGCCAAAACCGTTTCGAATGCCTTACTTGTCCCTACCACTTTGTAATTAACAAACGTTACTACGAGCGCAAGTATCTGAAGAAGAAGGAAGTCGAAGACATTTTGGGTGGAAAGGGTGCCTGGGATAACGTAGACAAGACAGAAGGTACGTCGCACGATATCCGGGCTTTTCAGAGTCACATGACGCCCAGTCCAGCTGTGCACGATCACGCTCGATGCATACGACTGACAATCGAACAGTCCAATGTCCCAACGAGAAGTGCCGGAACCACGAGGCGTACTGGTACCAGCTACAGATTCGTAGCGCTGACGAGCCAATGACCGCCTTCTACAAGGTACTCTAAACATCCGACATCTCGGAAAGCTTCGCTAACATCTACCAGTGCACCCAATGCGCGAAAGAGTGGCGAGAATGATTTACGAATCGCGTCAGATATCAGGAGTTTGGAAGCGGAGTTCTTGCTTTAATATACCCCGGTTGCATTTGGTGAATAGATATAAATCTCGATCTAACTTGCAGGCGCCACTCGCGCTTTGAGGAATCTGGGAAGAGTAATTGATTTCCTACACATTGGCTTTTGCTCATACTCACCGTTATGAAATATATGCTTCTTATTTGGGCTAGCACTTCTCAGCTCTCCTCTTGTCTGACAGCTACTCACTTTCCTTACTCAGAATACCCAATACCTCTGCCACAAGTGGCCACAACGCAGCACCCCAGGTCCGATAGCCTTCCTCGTTTAGATGCACATGATCCACAAGCATGTCTTTGCTGATCACATGTCTCGAATCAATCCACTTCACTCTATCTCCTTGACACTTGCCACCCTGTGAGTCGTCTTCCTTCTCCATATCTTTTTGCAAAATCTCGTTCATCTCTTCGACGACTTCCTTGAGCCTCCTATTACTCTCATCGACGAAAACATCAGCTATATCCTTCCTATACGTCATATCGCAAGCCAGTACCATACTCTCCGGAGCAATCCTTAAGCAGGTCTCTACCAATACCCTCCAACTCTCCACGTCCTGTTTGCGAAAAGGGCGCTTTGCGTGTAGATTGTTCGTTCCAGAAGTAAGGATCCAGACTCTGATGTTGCATCTCTCTTTTTTCGCGTTCCGGAGCATGTCGTAAAGACCCTCGTTGAGTCGGTATGCGACGTTTTCGTTCTTGTCGCCGCCAACACCGGCGTTCCATGCGACTCCCATGTTCCCTAGTTTGCCGATGTTTGTATTGGCACCAGTGGTTTTGAAGCGCTCAAGCATTGAGTTGCCGAGGTAGATGACGTTAATGGGGCATGTATTCGAAAGGTTTCGTGAGAGCGCATCTGGTGAAAGTGGAGACGCGTCTTCGTCCGGTAAAGGTAGATGAAGATCGAGCTGAAGACGTCTGTTGAGTTCTGGTACGTGTACCTGCTGGTGCGTCTTGTGTGCGCGATCCTTGAACTTGGCCAAGGCTTGAAGCCTATTGAGAAAGTCGTCGTTGTATAGACGGAGGTCCTTTGTTTCCTGATCTGCAACTTTACTGAATGCTGCAGCGCTATGCTCAGAGGTTGTATTCATCGTGATGCGTTTTTGGACTTGCTAGGGAATTGATGCGAGTAGAATACTGGTTCGCGTGAATTATTGTGAGAAAAAGTTGTAACGAGGAGAGTTGCCATGGCCAGAACGCGGTAGCGAGAAAGGGCGACGCTGTGAAAAGGGCTGAGGACTCGTTGGGAAGTGGGACACTGCAAGCCAAATGAGACCATGTTCATTTTTTGTGCCTAAGCAAGTCTTAGGCTTCATCCACCTTCCATCGTCTATTCATTGCTGAATCGGAGATGCATTCCGTCCAGATTCTCTTTCATCACTATGTAGAGCCGTACCGACTTCCTTCTTTCTACCCCTCCTTCCTAGCAGAGGAGCATCTCCTCATGAACTGCCACAACTCTATTTCGAAACCGGAAAGTCTGCCCAATGATGACGCCTTTGCGATGAATCTTTATGCTGAATAGACACAGATCAACTATCATATGGGTCCAATAACCCAGATGAGGTCGAAGTGAGGACCACGAGCCCTCAACAATGTGCGCCTGGAAGGTATGGCCCACTAAGCAAATGAGAGTGAACGGGCTGCGAGCAACCATGATCCCAGCGACACTGCCGAAGTTACCAGTCCAGTCCAGGACTATATTCACATCACACCAACAATAGCAATCTCAGTCATGCATTTACAGTGCTCATCACAATGAATGCGCTCATGCCCGACTTCCACGTGTATCGGTTTGGCCCACAATGGTAGGCACGAGCTAATGAGGATAGTTGTACGGTTTCGTGATCACCCAATCGCAGAAGAGTTTCGGGAATCCATCATCGGAACGACAGACTTCTATATTTATCTCGAGCTTTGTTGGGTGGTGTGCAACAGCCCTGGGCAAATACCAAACCAAAATTGGGGTCGGACGAATAGAATGTGGACAAGCCACCTTAGCTGGGACCGAACAGTGGAAACGCGACCAGTCCAACTTGCGTGTGTTTTCGTGGTAGTAGATTCGAGTAGCGACATTATAGACGTCTTTGTTAGCGAGCGCGAGGCTCAACAAAAGAAGTTCGTAGATGGAGTCATAGTTGGACTTGACGATTTCCTCAGGACAACAGACAGAAGGTCTTGAGTTCGAGTTCGAGCCTCCGCAGAGAATCATTGAAGCAAGGTAACATGACGTCTGTGTCTTTGTGGTTTCGGTGGGAAGGAGACCTCGGAAGGTTACGCCGCTGGTGGCCCCGGAACCCGACGAAGACGCTCAGTCTGAGTCTCCTTCACTATCGATGGTGAGCTCTATCAGACCATCAAGCGCATGTGTCTTAGGTTGAATGAACCAACGGGTAGCAGCCATACTGAGTGTGCCCGCGGTCATGATTAGTGTAGCAACATGCGGTTTCGATAGCTCTTCCAAAACAGCATGATCATCTTTCGGAAAATCCGTTGGCTTTGCAGATCGGGAAAAGAACACGCGAGATGAACGGAAGGGCACGTATGTACTGAGTCGGAAAAATCGTGGGTGATGAGTCTCTGCCTTCGAGACCGTGGTATCCGACCGTGGCCTTTGTGCCTTTTTCGTATCCGCGTCGTAAGTCTGAACAACATCGCGGGTTTTCTTCGGCATCGCTAGCGCTTTGCGTCCTTGAGCTTGGTTCTTTCTCTGCCCGACAGGCAAAGTTGGGGCAGCGTTGTCGGCAATAAACGGACTAACAGACGCTACATCAAGATCCATGACGCAAGGTTGCCAGCTCTCATTGAACTCCACGGGCTCGAATGATGCGCCTTTGTTACGCATGAAACTCTGCTCAATGACGCTACTATCTCGCAGTAGCGCAGGTTGTGAAGCGCCGTGAAAGTTGTGTAAATGCTGGAGGAAGGCCTCTTCTGACGTATAGAATTCTTGATTGCATGAACGATAGCGATGGTAGTTCTGTGCATGCTCGACATGAAACGTGCGATAGCCGGAACCGCAAAGATAGCAATGGTGAGCCTTCGCCGAAGGGAAGTCCGGGCAAAGCGGTGGTCCTGCATTGTCAGCAGCAACGTCGTCAAAGCTTCGCAGGAAACGGCAGCTCCACACACGGCAATGGGAATGCTCGTTCATCTCCTTGACATCCGTAAACACTTTCTGGCAGTATCGGCAACGGAACGACTCGTAGGGTGTCGTCGAGTATAGATTCTCCAGATGGTTCTCCTTGCGCTCCCCCCACCACACAGCACGGTCAAGCTCACGCGTGATGAGGTGCTCGGCGATATGCTCACACCGCTCAGACCAGTCTCTGGATCTTTTCCCACAAAAGCCACAATGAAGCATCGGGTCGTCCTTCTTCATTGGAGCACCGAAGCGACGCCACTTCATGGCGAGATCTTTGCAGCCGAAGTAATGGCCCTGAGCGGCTAACAATCGGGCCTGGCATCCGACACGTACCGATGGGTGTTTGATGTTAGCGAAGTGAACATGATGCATGTGTTGGATGAAGTGGTCGCGGCGATAGAAAGTCCGTTGAGATTCGGGCTTGCTCCTGCATTGCTGATATTTGTGGCCAGCCATGTGGGTGTCATCAGGATGGGTCTGACCGCAGAATGGACAGGCTTCGAGTATCTCAGATGACTTCGTGTCACAACAGATCCAGGTAGTTCGAAGCGCATGAACAGAGTCTTCGTGCCGAATCCATTCATACTTCGTCTTGAACGCTCGCGGGCAGAAGGTGCAGAAGAAAGAAAGATCCTTTTGGGGTTCACCCGCACTGCTACAGAGGTGAAGATATGAAGTCAGTGCATGTCTCATATGCGTCTTTTGCAATCACAACTTACTTGACACCATTAATAGCTTGGCGAGGTGACTCTTTCCAAGCCATCCGACGTCTACCCCGCCTTCGATCACGACCAAAAGACGAAGTTTTGCCGCGACTGCCGTTAGACGAAACCGTATAAGTTGTCAGTGCAGTGCCTTCGGAAGACGCAACAGATGTGATGACAGAGCCTCTACGGCCTTGCCTCGAGTCAGACCACCCGTCGTTCGGGTTACTCTCGCTAAGAGAATTATCATCGATGGCGGCCTGTACTAGAGACAACTCTACTGCTTCTTCTTGATATGACTGTGCAAGATATACTGCCAGAGGTGGTTGCGGCAGCTGATTAGCGCCATTCGCCTGCTTTTCAAGACTCTCTAGGCTATCTCTTGAGAGTTTTGTTTTCAGTACGCGACAATTGCGATCTGACAACTCTAGTGTGGAGACTTGAGAGTCTTAGGTATGTAAGTCAAAGGATAGCCAATCAGGTTTGAAGCTACTTGCCTCCGCATTTCTGTCGAGCTCGGGTGTTATTGAACCAGTTGCGAACCTTCTTCACGTCGAGATTGGCTTGATGTGCAATGATATCTAATTCCCAAGTACCTAAGAGATACGTGTACGAAGTCAGTGTATATATCACAAGCAATTCATTGGCGAGCATCTCTTACATGGGTATGGATTCACTGCAAATTCATCTTCCAGAATTTGCCTCGCTTCGAGCGGAATGCGACTTTGGGGTCCTTTACGTTTGGCTGATGCAGGTTTCCAAGTGCCGCTGAAGGCTTCCTGCTGGGCTGCGACCGAGCTGATTGGTACCTGGCTCAGAGGGAAGGAGGTGTTGGCCGGTATCGTTGACCGATCGATCTGTGATGCAGATTGCTCAAGCCGATAGTCCAGGGTGTCAGCTGGGCTCCCTCCATTGTTGCCATGAACGTTGTTGCATTGCATCAACCCAAGAGATGGTGAATATGATGATGGAATATTGAGATTTGCCTCATCATGTGTCATGGAACCCGCCATACGCTGAGGTTTATCTGTTTGCCAACTTTGGTCCGTTGCCCGAGCTAAACCTCTCTCAACCATGCGTGACACCAAACTGTCTGTTCCGTGAGATGATGGCCATTGCTGGCTCACACCACCAGTGGAGAAACATTGACTAACATCGTACATGGGCATGTCGTTCAATTGAAAATCGTCCGTGGGACTATGGTGGGCTGCTGGCTCGACAGCCCAGTCGATATTCGTGACATCATCTGGTTGAATCAACGGCACGCTTTGCTGCTTTGGAAAATGGTTGCTTCCAGAATCTGCGTTCTGATCAAGGGCTGCGAAGTCGAAGAATTCGTCCATGTTGTCAAGGGCGTCGGCATCCATGGCGACGCGCCTAGCGCGACCTAAATGGGCTCTAGGATCGGCTTATCCTGGGGAAAGGCAACCAAACATCAACGTTTTGATAGGTCCGAGGCTGAGAGATGGATGTTTGGTGATTGAGTGTGGCATGACAGAACGTGGGTGTCGGCTTGACGCTGATGAGGTAAAAGGTGATGCGGCGTCGTCTATTGATGAACTGGGTGCACGGCGATCTTCCAGGCAACCAGCACTAGTGGCAGCAAGCATTCCTGCGCAACCATGGGGACAGACATTCCACAGAGCTATACAGAACAAGATGTAATGGTGCATGTCGACCAACATTCAGGAAGAGGTTATGAGAGCATGACCCAGAGTGGCCCTGATGTTGACGTCCACCACAGTCGGCGTCTGCGCGCGTTCAAGCCGGCAGACGCCACCCAATATCGTTAGCGCGAGTTGTTGACCCACCGAAAAGTTCCTCCACTCGAAAAGCTCACGACACTTGTAACGACACGCGCATTGATCGCCTCCAACATTCACAATGGCCGCTGAAGTACAACTCCTGCAGCCTTTGAAGCTGCCAAAGGGCCCTTCGACTCTCACGTCGGAGCAAAAGTACTGGAACTCGTTCGCCTCAGAGCTGCGCCTCGACCCGTCGCAGCATTCGTCGCCCGTAACCCATATCTCGATACCGCCTCCTCAGCCCGCAAATGCGCTATCTGCCGCCCAGGATCTTTTCGCCGTGACGACAGGATCCCGTGTTCAGATCTTCTCCTCTAAGAGCCGAAAGGTCGTCAAGACGATATCGCGCTTCGGCGTCGACGACATTGCGCATTCAGGAAACATACGGCGCGATGGCAGGATCTTGGTCGCAGGAGGCGACACTGGTGTTATACAGGCCTTTGATGTGAAGAGCAGGGCGATTTTGAAGACATGGAAGGAACACAAGCAGCCTGTCTGGGTGACACAGTGGAATCCAACCGACCTCACGGGTCTGATGAGTTGTTCCGACGATAGGACTGTGCGACTATGGGATCTGCCGAGTGAGAAGAGTGTGATGAAGTTTGATGGGCATCAGGATTACGTGCGCAGCGGTACATTCATGCCTGCGCAGAGTGGGCTACTTGTCTCCGGAAGTTACGATCAAACGGTACGACTCTGGGATTCGCGAGTGGGCGGAAAGGCGGTCATGGTATTCAAGCATGCCGCGCCCGTCGAGACCGTTCTACCCATGCCCTCTGGTACTGCTGTCCTCGCAGCAGCCGACAACGTGATCAGCGTGCTCGACATTGTAGCTGCGAAGCCGATTCATATGTTGCGCAACCACCAGAAGACGGTTACCGCGCTCTCGTTGGCGAACAATGGCGAGCGTCTTCTCTCTGGTGCCCTTGATGGCCATGTCAAAGTTTTCGAAACAACTGGCTGGAATGTAGTGGGAGGAATGAAGTACCCCTCTCCCATCCTGTCGCTCAGCGTTATTCCGAACCAGAAGGAGGATCGGCACATCGCCGTGGGCATGCAGTCTGGTCTGCTCTCAATCAAGACCCATCTCTCAGGCGAGCAGAAGGTGCAGGCTCGTGAAAGGGAGAAGGAAATGAAAGCTCTCATGGAGGGCAAGATTGAGGAGTACGACAGGAGCAAGAAGCGGAAGCGCGGGAAGGGCTGGGAGAAGCGCATACGAGGCAAAGACTTCACAGGCGAAAGCGCAGATATAGTCATTGAAGGCAATGCGCGGGGAAAGATTACTGCCGGACAGCCTTGGGCGCATGCGTTGCGAAAGGGCATGTATTCGCAGGCGTTGGACATGGTACTTGAATCAAAGGTAAGCTCATGTTTCTCATCGGCGTTCTGGCACACTGCTCACAGTTCGTAGGATGCGAACGCGCGCAGTCAGTCTCTCACGCTCCTGACCGCTCTACGTCACCGCTCTACTCTTCGCACCGCCCTTAGCAATCGTGACTCGGTAACACTCCAGCCCATTCTCCGCTGGTGCATAAAGAACATATCCGACTATCGTATCACACGTCTGACGACAGACGTTGCGCTCGTAGTACTGGATCTTTATGCCGACCAACTAGGCAGAAGCGAAGAGGTCGACGATCTGATCATGGCGCTTATGCAACGTGTCAAGGTGACGGTTGAAGCAAGTCAAGATGCTTGGAAAGTGAGGGGTATGTTGGATATGCTCGTCAGCAGTGTGGGCGCAACAGAGGGTGTGGAAGCATGAGAATGACCAAAAGGTCTTTTGTTTGCATAGCGAAGGCGTTCAGGATCTCGTCACATGTTTCAAAAAGTTGAGAAGGCGAACCATGTATGTTATGTACCTTGGATGGATGGAGGGATGGATACCCGGATGAAGCGATTGGTATTGCTTTGGATGATGGGAACGGTATAATCTTGAATGGTATATTGTACAAGCCAGCTCTCTTACACGGGCCATATGCTATACACAGAATTCGTACATGCATCTACCACAGACAGTATTGCCGCTGTGATGTCACGGGTCGGTCGGGTAGTGCAGTCCATAGCTTGCGGTTGTCGCGCTTCTTCTTGAGTTCATCCGAGATGCGCATCCGCGTCTTCTCTTCCTTGAGAAGTACGGAAAAGCCTATCAGATGGTGTCAGCGTGTGATTCGGCAAAATAAGCTTGTAGCCAACTCACTGGTCGTCCGGTGCTTCAGCATGTTGATGGCACCCCGCGCCCTGAACTCAGGGGTCTTCCAGCTCTCTCCGGGCCCCACCCATGCCTGATCAATGTAGATCTCACTGGGGTCGCGCACCACCTTCTTACTGCCATCCTTCAATTGAATCGTCGTGTCTTTGAAGAAGGGCACTTTGACCTTGTTCGCTTCTACACTACCATCCTCTTGGGAGGTCTTGTAGTCCCAAGTATCCTTCGGCCTCCCCGCATCCGTAGCTTCTCTTTGCTTATTCCAACGAGACACAGCAGCCTCCTCGCCAGCTAGGCCCATGCCCCGGCCCGCAATGGCTTCGTTTTGCGCGATCTCGAGGCCCTTGATGACGTCGCGAGCGATCTTTTTCTTGGAGAAGCGGAGTTGGACCAGGGCCTCTGAGATGGTCTTTCCGGCGATCTGATTGACGACCTTCTGCAGCTTCTTGGTAGACGTAGGGAGGACTTGTGACTTGTACAGCGATTGGCGCTCGGTGCGGAGTAGCTTTGCAGCCTTTGTCATGCGGCCGTGGCGCTTGACACCGGAGATGATGAGTTTGCGTTCGAGGCGCTTGCGGGCTTTTTCGTCAGGGTCGAGGGTCATGCTCATGAGCTTTCTGTCTTCCTGTGCCTTTGCTCGTTGCTCCCTCTGTCTGTATTTTGCCTTGAGGTCGAGTTTCTCCTGCGGACTCAGGTCTTGCCGCCATCCGGGCATGTCGTTCTCGGGTGCGAAGAGCGACGTCGGGGTAACGGCGAAGTCTCCTGTGCGCTGTGCGGGGCGTGTCGGGCGTGCTGGCTCGCCCTTGTCGTTTGCGTCTGCCTCGTGCTCCTTCTCCTTCTTGTTCAGATAGTCTTCGAGGATGGGGTTGGTGAGGTCATCGTCTTGGTTCTTGCGCCCGAAAGAGACATTGCGCTGGGCGAGTGAAGGAAGCGATGTCGACGGCACCCAGCGAGTGTGCGGGCGGAAGACGGCGAGGGCTACTCGGTGTTAGTCGTAGAGTTTGTGGGGGAACAGGACAGGCGTACCGGACTGCCCCAGGCGCCGTGAGGGAATTCGAGCACTCATGCCGATGCTCAGCACGACGAAGCTGCGGCGTTGGTGATGCCAATGCGGTGGAGTTGACGGGAAATTCTGTGGTTGCGGCGAAAGGCTCCGCGCTTGCAGGGGTGGGGAGTCTCGGCAGATCTTCATGAACCAGACGCAGCGATCAGCTCGCAGAAGAAATGTGCAGGAGTCGTGTCGTCCCGCTCCTGTCCAGACCATCGTCGACGCTGTCCAGTTGGCCCTTCTTGACGCGCATCTGGTGACGCGCCCTACACCCTGCAGTGCCCTCTTTACCTGCTCTCCCGGGAGTCCGCATCCAGCTGCTCCGAGTCGCGAAGTGCTCGCTCCATCATTACTTGATTAGTCGCAGGCCCAAGCTCGTCTGGTGCACCTAACCACCTTTTCTTCTAGGCCCAGTGTAGGCATTCTCATCCACGACGCCGACGAGGTCATCTCCCATCACATTCGCTCGCCCCATCGCCGCGCGCCGCCAACCGTCCTTTTCGCGCCCATCGCCCGCCCTCGTCCCATGCCGCTCGCTACGAGGGATTCGATGCCGTGTAGTTCCCGCAGCTCGCGATTATAGAAGAGAACATAGCAGGACGTCGAGTGCGCCTGTGGCGTCTGAAACGGCCGTCTAGTCTGAGCGCATACCAAACAACTGCACCAAACTGTACACAACACCCACCATGGATATCAACTCATTGCTGTCGCCGTCGGACTCGCCTGCGGGCACCCCAACGCCCCAGCCCGCCCCTACTATCCCGTCGCCGTCACTACTCCGATCCCCAGGCAAACGTACACGGCGCCAGATGCCCTCGCGAACACCCTCGGGTCTGAGTCAGCAGATCAGATCCTCTCCACAGCCGCCCCAGACGCTTCAGCAGCGTGTGCCATCTCCAGGCTACGCCCACATCGCGAACGGCGCAAGAGCAGTACACAGTTCAATCGGCACGCCGCAACAGATAGCATCCCCTCGCGACGCGCGCATGACTCCGCCGAATCCCATGTACCGGCAAACTTCGACACCGGGTATGGATACACTGGCAGGTAGGTGCCCGCTTTCTTTGCTCTGGCGGCACAGCGCTGCAGTCAGCCCCAGTACGATGGAATTGCAGCGTCAGAGATGCAGGGAGAAAAAGGACGTGGCGAGCGGCTGCGAAATGCCACTTCACAGGGCCTCTACTAACATCTTCCCAGACCTTGCCAGCATGCAACAACAACAAGCCGCGCGCCAGAACTCTGTAGTTCACCAACGGCCTGTCACGTAAGTTCATCATTCCTACCGAGTTGGTTTTTATTTTGGCCCGTCCACGTCGTGAGACCGTGTCTGCACCTGCACATTTACAGGTAGCGCGCATTGTATTTTGTGGGGCGAGCAGTGACGTCCGGGTGTCGCGCTTGCCCGTGGTCACGGGTTTTGCCCGCTGCGCCAGCCTAGCTTTGTTACACAAACTCCACTACTAAACACTGACCATGTCCCAGCCTGCAACATCTTGGACAGAATCTTTCCGGTGAGTCTGTAGCCAGCATCATGTCCGAGGCTTCGCCGCGACCGCGCAACTTCATCACTCGCTCTTTGGACCAACAGCACATCGACTGGCTCAACCAACTGGACAAGACGCTGTTAGAAAATCCCTTCGATTATTACAGCCATGTCTCGCTTGTCACTACGCTGCACCAGGGCCTCCAAAATCACCTTGCCTCGTTCGACGCGGACCCAAACGCATACGAGCTGGTGCAAACTCTGCGCGATGCCTACAAAACCATGTCTGACAAGTATCCGCTCGGTGAGCTGTTGTGGCATTACCGATTGAACGACGAGAAAACTCTGGCCAAGGACGTGGAGCAGCGTATGGGCGTGCTAGAATTGCACAAGCAAGCCACACAAGAGGAGCCTTACAGTGCAAAGCTTTGGGCAGCATACGGCGAGTATGTGAGCTACCTAGTCGCTTGCTCTTGGGATCAAATACCGCCAGAGGAGTGGCCTGAAGAGGAAAGGCTGATTGGTCGCGAGCTCTTCAAGCCTCAGTTACTACTGCACGCGCTACAAGAAGGTGCAGAGAGAGTCAAGTATAACCTTCAGGAAAGTAATCTTGTGTGGGACCGCTACCTACAAGTCCTGGAAGAGGATCTTGAGCGCGAAGGCTTCAGCCAAGAGAAGGCGAAACGAGTAGCCGCCATTTATAACGATCGCCTAGGTCAACCACACGCAACATGGGCCAATACGCTCAGTAGATACTCGTCGTTCAACTCTCGCTACAACACGAGTCACTACGAGCAGGTGATGGATGAAGTGGTGAAAAACAACACACACATCAAACAGCAATATGCCAACCGCGAAGAATACGAGTTTAAACTTCTACAGGCCATCCAAGCGGGCGATCAAGCCGCCGAATACACCGCCATGACACGCTATCTCAAATGGGAGAAGAGAACTATGGGCGTCTACAGCTTCCATCTTGTCAATGCACTCTATGAGCGAGCCACGCTTCGCTTCCCAGTCGATCCTTCAATATGGGAAGATCACGTCGAGTTTCTTATCTGGCAAGACAACCGATCGGTAGATCTGCTCAACGTCCTGGAGCGCGCGACCCGCCATTGTCCCTGGTCTGGATCACTCTGGTCCCACCGATTGCTAACGCTCGAATCGGAAAATAAACCATTCGAGGATCTTGAGCTTGTTAAACATACAGCTACTGGCTCTGGTCTCTTGGAACACACCGACTTGGATGAACTCATCAAGGTACAACTCGCTTGGTGTGGTTACTTACGGCGAAGAGCTTTTGACGACCCCAGAGCAACAGAAGACGATGTTGATGTAGCCGAGGTCGGAATCCGGTCTGCCCTAGAGTTTGTCCGAGAGGTTGGCATGAAGAAACATGGCAGGGAGTGGACGGACCCAAAGTACCGTCTTGAACGTGCTCACATGAAGTTTTGGCTCCAACGCGGTGAAATAGATCAAGCCCGTCAGATTCAGGAGTCCATCACACAGTACCAGGAAGACTCATACGACTTTTGGTATCGCTGCTACATCTTTGAGATGCTTCTGTGGGCGCCACATGCAACAAGGAACAAGCAGAATGCAGGCCAGCCACTATTGCCACCGACTCAGGCTACCTCAATCTTGGAACGTGGCATGAAGCGCTTGCAAACGATCGATCACCCGGAGCTGCTTATCGACATGTACATCAGTCATTGCGAACAGCATGAGTCAGCGTTAAAAGTACGTAGCGCGACAATCGAGCGTCGACGAGCTGAGCGCATCGTATCTGTTCGGAGAGAGAAGGAACGAGCACTCGTGGCTGCTGCAGCTCCACCACAAGATACACCAGACAGCCAAGTCATGGAAAGCTCAGCAAAACGGAAACGGGAGGACGGCGATGAAGATGCGATATTGAAGAAGAGCAAGACTGCGGGAATTGAAGAAGCTTCCCATCCCGTCAACGGCCAGGCAAGAGGCGCGAGCGAAGCACCCTCGGAAGCTCGTTCTACTGGCCCGAAACGGGACCGCGAACACACGTCGGTCATCGTTAAGAAGTTACCACTCGATACCACACAGACTCGGATACGCCAATTCTTTACTGATGCGGGCACGGTCCGCAATTTAGTTATGAAAGAGGAGAAGGACAGTCTCACGGCTATCGTGGAATTTGAATCTCCAGAAGAAGCTGACTACGCTCTGAGTAAGGAGGCGAAAGGATTCGAAGGCCACAACATATCGATCGAGCGAGGCCAGAGCACGACGCTGTACGTTACGAACTACCCGGCGCATGCCGACGAAGCCTGGCTACGGAAGCTCTACAGCCCGTTTGGAGAGATCATCGGCATTCGCTTCCCATCGCTCAAGTTTGATGCCCACCGCCGGTTTTGCTACGTACAGTTCGCTTCAGCTGAACAGGCAGTTGCCGCAACACAACTGGATGGTACTGATGTCGAGGGCTTGAAGCTGATCTCGAAAATATCTGACCCCAACGCTAAGAAGAAACGTGATGGCGCTACTGCCGAGGGTCGTGAGGTCTATATATGGCATCTCAACTTCAAGGTCAAAGAGAGGGAAATCAGGGATGTTTTTTCCAAATTTGGCAAGATCGAGAGGACCAAGTGCCCAACCATCAGGTCTACCGGCAACAATCGTGGTTTCTGTTACGTCGTTTACGAGACTAAGGATAGCGCTGATGCTGCAGTGGCGGAGATGCATGAGAAGGAGTTCTGGGGCCTCAAGATCATGGTTGAGATCGCAAGTGATCGGCCTGCTACGAAGCCAAAGGTGCAGTCGACTTTAGAGAATCCGGAAAACTCAGCCGCTCGTGAAGTGACTCCCGGACAGAGCAACGCTGCTGCTGAAGCTACTGTCAAGCCTGCTTCTTTCATGGACCGGTCTATCGCGATCCTCAACTTACCCGATACCGTCCCCGACGTACGCATCAAGCCGCTTGTCGAGCAGTACGGCTTCAAGAAGATCAAGCTCGAACCTCACCATGGCGGTGCGATCATCGAATTCACGACTGTGGAGGGCGCCGGTAAGGCTCAATTCGCACTTGAGGGTAGGGACTTTGAGGGAAGGAAGCTTCGTATCGGAACAATTCAAGACCTCAACAAGCAGAAGGGCGAGTGGAAGGCGAGCAACAGCTTTGTACAGCCGAACCGTGTCAATCGACCTACAGCTGCTCGTGGTGGACGAGGGCGTGGAAAACCTGGTCTTGGTCGGCCAACCATCCCCAAGGGTGCCACAACGACTAATGGCGAGCCGAAGAGTAACGCGGACTTTCGCGCGCAATTCTTGAAGGAGCCTACGAAGGAAGCAAACAAAGACAATGACAAAATGGAAGAGTAATGGCAGGGGATGGGAGTACGGTCGCATATCAAGATCCAAACAGGACTTGATCGGTGTTTATCATGGAGCGGGTTTCAACTGCCTCTAGGGTTCTCTGCATACTTTGGCGTTGAGGATTGCTTTCTTACGGATCAAAGCCGATATGGTTGGCTTTCGATGTCCTCTTTCTTCTTAGTTTGGTGCTGCGCACCGTGTGTATGCAATATAATATAATGAGTGTCACAATACTCGCAAGAACAGCCTAGGTGCAGGTACAATTTGAGCGTGGATGTGAGTGAGGTAGAATACGTGGATATCGTGCGCGGAGCTGAAATATCATCACCGTACACTGATGGATACCATCTAGACTATGGACAAGAGTGTAATGAACAGCAAGCTTGAGCGAGTGACGGTTTGATTCATTCATGTATGTCAACATGTCGCTATCATCCATTCAGGTCGAAGGCTTTCCGATAGACTAGTTGGAGAAAATGAGTGCATCTCCACCTTCACCTATCAGATCAAGCCACAGCAGAGGCAGCAGCACCAATGACAGTCTTACCAGACATGGTCTCGAGACGTTTGAACCCACCATGCTGTTTAACACCCTCCTGCAGCTCCACCATCCTCTTCTGATCGCCAGTAGGGTCATCAGTTTCATCCTCAAGACCCCAAGCTAAGTACTCGTTCGTGTAGTTGGGCTTGAAGGTGTTGTCCAACACACCAAGTCTCTTGCCGTAGCGGGTGACCTTGTCCCAGTCACGCTGGACATTCTGAAGATCGGGGCTAAAGTACGCGAAGCTGCGTTCAAAGATCTTATGGTTGGTCGGCGTATTCATAGCGGACTTGAAGCTGCAGAATTCCTCCCAGGCTTGGTCGGGAGACGCAAGAACGAAGTCAGTTGCGCGCTTGCACGCACGCAGGAAAGCACGTACTTTCTCTGGGTTCTGTTTGATAAAGTCGTTGTTTCCGATATAGAGAATGCTGCAGAAGCAGCAGCAGCCGAGTTGTGCAAGCTCATCGATGCGGAGCATCTTCACTTCGTCGCGCGAGCGGTTCTGGCTAGCAAGCCACTCCTCAAGCTCAACCATCTGGACATTCTCGAGGCCTATGCCAGCATCGATTTCGCCAGTGATGATAGACCGTGTGACGTTCATGCCCACACGAATGGCTTGGTAGTCATCAGGTGACATACCGTAGTGCGCGGTGAGTTCATCGAGTTGGATTTTGCCAAATTCTCCAACGTAGCCGATCTTCTTACCCTTGAGGGTTGTGAAGTCGGGGGTTATACCAGAAGAGGTCAAGTACACAACACCGGTGAAGGGTTCGTTGAGCAGGGAACCGATTGACTGAACGGGGAAGCCACGAGCTGCGGCGGCGAGAGTATGGATCATGGCCTTGAAGCCAAGGTCGACCTTTCCAGATCCGATGATTTCCGTGACATCCTAATATGGTAAGTTCATGTTTTCGAAACGAGCAACATTGGCCGTACGCTTGGGTCGTTGGGCTCAAGAAGAGCGACCTTGACGCCTTCATCTTTGAAATATCCCTTGCTCTGGGCAAGATAGAGAGGAGCGTGGTATGGCGTAGCGTGCCTAATAACTGTCAGCATGCACCTCACTTGACTCAGATGCAAAGCGCACCAGTTGGTCAAGAAGGTAATCTTATCAGTCGACATCTTGACTTTGGTACAAATGCTGAGCTAGTCAGTACGCCAACATAGAGGGGAAAGGGTCATCAGGAAGCAGCAGTAGTCCTTCGCGCTGGAATTATCCAGATCAAGTTTAAACGGTATGATCTCAGAACAAGCAATCAATAACCAAGTCTCCTTGTGAGGAGTCTGGATCACCGAAGGCTTGAACACCCGCCATGCTTTGCTTCTGATGGTTGAGATGGGTACCTGATGATGCCATGTCGGGCACCTTTTACTTGATCGAGATGAAATTCTGATTTGCGAAGAGCAAGACCAGCGTGGCCTTGCTGTGCTGGTTCGATGATAGCATCGTACCAAGTTGGTTTCGTGTCAGGGAGAGTTGTTGTAGTTCGGTTTTGGAGACAAAAGAGCAACAAAGGTGGCGACTGAAATTCACCATTTCTACCGGATACTTATAGTTCTGCTCCTCTCCCATCTGTTGAGAAGCAAGGTGGGTAAATTGCTCACTGCAGATGCATGGTGACGGGAGATAGCGGGGCAATGAGGGGTACACTTCCCGAGCACGTCAACACACATCACAGAACCAAAACACACGCCTCCCCCATGCAAGACCAAACATCTTCATACCTGTTTCTATTCACTCAAATCTATCCCTAAGTTGTTCGAAAGTCGCAGTGCTAACGCAGGCAGTCGATTTGGTCATATTAGACCATTTCCTTGAGGAACATCTAATAGAACTAACTTTCTTAAGCGAACGGCATGCTTTATCGAGACACCCGGATGTCGTCGAATTGGATGCATACGAAGAGTTTTGCGTCTAGTGGCACGCTATACATGTCTTGTTAAAGGATAATCAAGGATACAGACGGTGTACAAGACCTTGGTCATGACGATCGTCAGTGTTGAAACATGCAACCAATGTCTCGTACAGTTGAGAGTGTGGGACGTGAAATGCAAAGAAGCACGTTTGCGGGATAGCGGGGAGTTTATCCACGATTCGAAGCTTTCGACTATACTCTAAAACAGTTTGCGGCAATTTGGACTTGTCAGAGATCACAACACCTTTAACCTCTCTTCCAACCAAGCATCTAAACCTCGCCACATTGCACTTTCTCGCCCTCTGTGCTCCAAGTCTTTGCAAAATCGGCCCAATGTCTGGCACCTCTGCTTGACCCAAATTCTTTTCTCCTCTTCATGGCCACCACTCAGCTCCCCGATGATAGCATGCGCAATCTTCGCCTCACAGACAGGACACAGGAACGGGGGCTGTCTTACGTCTTCCCTCATACTACCCGTCCCCTGCATATTACACGCATAATACACACAATGCGCGATGCCGAAACAATGACCTAATTCATGCGACACCGTTCGCGCAAGCCGTGAGAACCATAGCGCCTGGACTTCTTGCACCGGAGAGACAGGCTTGTATGCTGAGGCTAAGGCGACCGCAGCTGCCATTGCACTGTTCTTACTTAGGTCTTTTTGTTTCTTTGTTGCTGGCTTTGCTTCTACGTCTTCCGTAGCACACAAGTCATCTACAAATGTTTTGCAATGACTCCACGGCCACATATGACTTCTGTCAATCTGCTCCCCTTGCCGTTTGTCCAGCACCGGGCTATACCGTGCAGTCTGAACAACAGCCACTCTACTTCCTCCATATGCTCTGCCACAACAAAAGTCATCATCTTCAGACTCGTAGATGTCATGATCGACCAAGATAACCAGAGCATAGGCGTCAACAGGGAGAATCGAAATAGTCATATCAAGAATATCGTCTAGGTTGAGTTGAGCGGGGAAAGCAGAGTCTGGCGGGGGGCGGACGCGGATCCTCGTACATCGATCTTCGCTATCGAGAAGACCAACGTACTTTGGCAGAGCGGCACTTCGGTAACGGCTGGAGGGTTTGGAACTAGAACCCCATTGTGTCCAGGTCAAGGGCGTGGGTAGGAGGCGAACGGGCATATTGTGGTAGAAGGCGGCAAGGTAATCAACAAAGAGGTCTGCAGATGGAGGTGGCTCTGCTTCTTGTCGATCCTCTGATGCTCCATGACCAGTTGGTATTACCCAGTCTCTCATGAATTCCACCTTCTTACTGATCTTGGGTACTTGTGCTACATATAGTGTATCCCTTCCAGTTGTCGATAATAGTCTATTCCTGGTTTCCGCGTTTAGCCACTCTTTGGTAGTTTGAGGTTCACTATCCGGATCGTAGTTTAGATCATCATGCGGTAGAACAAGAGGACCGGGAAAGGTTCCTATCGAGTAATCCTTGCCCTTCTTCGGTGCTCGCCCAGATGTCGTTTCTGCTGCTGCACGTGCCGCGGCATCTGGTTGTTCATATCCTGCTAATTCTGCGAAGGGTGAAGGCTCCAAATGTAGAATGGCATGTTTACATGTCATAGTGAGTATCGGATGTTATGAACGGAGGGGAGCAAAAAGGAGCTGAGAAAGGGATAGAGGATGTTGCCTAAGAGGGGGCTGAATGTCGTGAACGCTAGTCCGACACAGGAAAGGTTCGCGATTCATGTCTGTACCAAGCTGCTCATCGATGACTCGCCCCTGCTCCTGCTGTCTTTTCGTCATGTGCAGTCCATTCCTCCTATTCCTTGTACGCATCCAATCGACACATCTACCACAGCGGATCATTTCTGCCCCAGTATAGCAAGCTCCCTCCAATCGCCAAGCTGTTGAAAACACCAACGTAATGACCTGCAATCTTGTCTTTCGCTCCATACGCGCTGACAATTACCGAATCCGCGACAGTTGCAACTAATCCTGCCATTACTGCGACACCTAAACTCCTCCTGTCTCGCAGCACCAGCCCGAAAACTGCCAGAAGAACGCCATTTTGAACATTGCGTGCTGCTATAGCCGCGACTAGAGCTTTTTTTGTCTTCTGATCTTCTTCGTACGTGCTTTGATTGTTGCCGGAACGTTTTGCGGATGCAGGTGACGTGTCGGACTCGCGTGAAATGGGCAGACCGTAGCCATCTGCGAAGAAGGAAGGATCACGTAGGCCTATTATACCAAACGGCACAATTTCGAGGGTTGCGATGAAAAGCGCAAGACATTCCGCTGGTGGAGGTAGGTGGTGGAAGAGGTTGCGGACTTGGGTCGTCATGGTAGGCGATCGAGTTGATAACCAAGATAGTTTTGCTTAAAGTAGTACCACTGCAGAGCTTTAGATGCGAAAAGAGACATGATGCGGTCTTATAGACGCAGTCGAATCAATGCAGGAGATACGTACAGTAGGTGTATGTAGACCTCCTTCAACTCCTATTGGCTAACATAGTTCGGACTTCGGATGCGGGGATCGCAGGGCTGAAATCGTCGCCCTTTCCCCAACCAGCTTTCGAATCTAATACTCATTGCATCTTATGCATGTTTTCGAGAGGAAAGAAAGGCGACTAATGCTCCCATCTCTGTTAGTGTGTCGTAACAAAGGCCTGCTGGCGTATGACTAGAGCGAGGACGCGTCCGTTGATGAATGCTACGTTATCCCCTAGGTACGGCAAGCGCATCAGAACATTGCCATCACATATGCAGACTCCAAAGACGTATCCGTGGGCCCAAGGACAATAAACCTTCTGGAACGAGATGGTAGACAGGCATATCAGGGTCCTTTGAGACAACCTTGGAAGGATATCACCATACTGGAAAGATAGCCTTGGACTGCAGCCAGTAGTTCACACCGCAAGTGGCATATGTACAGTAGTACTCTGTCCTTCAGTAGAAGCTAGAAGTCTGATCGGATTCAGAGATCCTTTGGAACTGAGCGGTGTCGTAACCCTGACTGGGTAGCCACATGGCAGCTGCGTCTCTCCATTTTGTCGTCCTATTAGAAAGCTGTCATCTAAGATGACAGTGTAGGCACCCACATCGTTACCGCACTTTGCCTATGAAAGGTAGCGATTGGTGAGTGTGGTGCAATGTGCATCTGCTTGTGTAGTGAAACTCAGGTGGACTTCTGAAGGTTTGATCACCCCTACTCTCTAAGGGATCTTGTTCGTGTGGCGCACTTTCCTCCCCTTCACTCGCCTCGACGCCACGAAAAGCTCGGAGTCGCACACTTCTACATTCACACGCACTCCAATTTTGCTAGTCGCACGCTTCCCAATACATAAACAGTCTCTCCTCTCCTTCTCACGCTCCACAGACACTCGCTTCTCAACTCTTCTGTCACGACTCACACTTCGTCAACGCCAGAGCAGCCCCGCGACTCTCGCCACTTGTGCCTTATTTTGGCAATCTAACTTTTAGAAAGCCATCTTTGCTCTCTCACCTCTCCGACAACACTTGTGAACTACAGTTCAACGACCCCTCTCCTTCCACCCCCGAGCGAACGCGAAAGATGGCGACGGCTCCTTCCTTCTGGGCTGCTGGCAATAACAAGATCAAGTCTGCCGAGTCTCCGAATCCTAAGATTGCAGAGGCGCCACCGAAGCCCAAACCAGGCCCTCAGCAGAAGAAGGGTCTCGTGCTCAAGGGCATCTCCAATGGGCACATCACAAGTGACTTCTCTGCAAAACCCGCTGTAGCCACCGATAGCAGAAAGGCCGACTGGGCTGATGATGACGACGACAACAGCTTCATCGCGGAGTTTATGAGCCAGGACCCGAAGGTCGCCACACTCGAGACCACCGTCGCTCTGAAACAGGAGCGCGTGAAAGAACTAGAGGCGGTGGTAATCACGAAGACTCTTCGAGTTGCAGAGTTGGAAGGTGCGGTTCAAGATAAGGACCATCATATTAGTGACCTAGAGGCGGAGGTCCAAGAGAAAGACAGCAAGATCAGATTACTAAAGAAAGAGAACAGCGATCGACTCCTTCAAAACCAAAAGCTGCTGCGCGAGGCTCACGAGAAGGACAGCCAGATCAAGAAGCTGGAAGTTGAGCTGAAGGGGAAGGCTGTGACCGTTCGCAGCCTTGAGCAGGAGTCAGCTGCGCTTGTCCCTGTGCCAACAAACGATGCTGAGTTGATCACCGAAGACGAACTTGAGGACAAAGAATTAGAAAGCACCAAGATAGATGGGACTGACGGCATTACTGAGGCGGAAAACGAGGTCGATGAGACCTTCTCTGAGGCTTCGGATAGCTTCGAGATCGTTGATCCCCCCAGGGATGAGGAGACTAGAAAGATCAAGGAGCAGGAGACTGAAGCGACCACTACTGGAGAGTCCGTTGACACTGTTCCAACGAAGAAGAGTTGTGGCCCTTCGTTCGGCGAGTCTGAATTCCCGACATTCGTAACGAAGAACATGCTGAAAATCGTTCCGCCAGCCCCGAAGCCCAAGACCTTGACCTTTCCTATAGATATGTCTAAGTATGGGAAGAAGTCCACCGCACCACCTACCACGAAGATTGTACGTCCATCATCAACTATGATCGAGAAGAATGGTCACACGACACCCTGGGGCCAATCTTCCAAGCAGGCACGCGACAAGACCGGCGCCATGCCCGAGTTTGACTACTCGGCTGACATCCGTCACATGCCGCATAGCAAGCGCATGCTCTTTGGCAACGGTCCTGAAGTTGTTGTTAAGCTCGGTGATGTCAAGCTGGCTACTGTCACCAAGTACGTCTTGATGCAGTGCTCGTTCAAGGCTCTTGAGTACTTCACCAGACGACCTGAAGCCACCTCCTGGATCCTTCCCGCCGACTCGATGGACGTAGACTCTGCGACGGCGCACCTCAAGTGGATGGACGAGATGACCTACCAAAGCAGGATCTACTCTTTGAAGTTCCAGACTGAGCATGTCCATGACAAGAAGAACCTCAAGATCTGTCACGCTGCCCGTGTTCTAGGACTCAACAACATATACGTTGCCCAGTTCACTAAGCAGTTCTGTGACCGTATCCGCGCTGAGGATATATCGCCCGAATTCATGGATCTTGTCTGCCAATTGGCTTACCCGGATAATGACCCGATTTTTGACTGTCTAGCCAACAACTTGGTTAATCGAAAGAAGGTTGGAAATGACAAGGGCGCGGCAGAATTGGAGAAGCTGTTAGCCAAGTACGCGCTTCTAAAAGACAAGGTGGATAAGATTGAAAAGCGTTTGACTGGTCGTCCGCGCAAGACCTGGATGTCTCCCGAAGGCAGTGCGCGCGGTGGTAGTAACGACCGCAGCAGCGGAAAGGGCCGTAAAAGTGGTGACGCTGAAAAGTCTTTGCCGAATGTTGTACAGCCTGCGCCTGGCAACAAGCCGGTTGCTCCAGCGGCTGAGGAGGCGCTATTCACCATCCTCCAGTAGACTAACACTGTGGTATGACACCATACTTCCTTGGGATGGCTAGAGTATGCTAGAAAAGAGAAGACTGTCTAATGGCTTTCACGACGCTGGTACAGTCCAAATGCGTTCGAGCGGGAGCTTTGTCCAGGTTGTAGGTCTTTGCATCTACAGCAAAAATGGATATATAGATCGACAACTTGTTTCATTGATAGAGTGGTATACGTCTCTGGACATTTGAGGTCTGGAGACATCTTCAACGCAATCGACGAGTGTCAGGTAGCATAGTTTATAATGCCATCGATGAAATCAACAAACACCTCACATGTACAACTGAATCATCAGGAAGAGTCTGTGGAAGCGTTTGGTTGGGAGTCTGCTTTTTTTTTTTGCCAACCTTTCGCAACCAGACGGATGCATCTAGCATCTACATTCTACACCTTTTCGGCTGACACATAGATACTTGACACCCTTGTACGGAGTTACACCACTACCCAGGCCTTTACTCTTCTTTTGGTCCACGTTCAAGCTCTCCACGCGTATTCCACTCGGCAACCAACCTTTGACGGAAAAGCTGATGGTCGCACAGCTTGGCATGAGGACTTTGTTTGCCTGCTTGATCTTGGCGTCGCTATCCGGCCTCGGCGTGTTAGAAGACGAGGCCGCAGGCAAAGATATCTGCGTATTCTGGTCGTCATCATAATCGTATGTTGATGTTGCAAACGAAACCGGTCCACCGGCATCCAAAGCATCCTCCGCAGATGGGTCATCCTGGCCAATAACAGTCCCACGTAGCGTGGCTGTGGCTCCAATTCCTCCACCCCGGTCTTGAGACATGAGGTTGCTTATCTCACGACTACTTATACGCCATTCTATTGCCCTGTCGCCAGGGGCGTAGCCTGCATCTCCTGTTCCGCGTGCGAGACGAAGATCGGCGACGTTTCTGACAGACGCTGGGAGAGGAATGTGAATGGTCATTTCTTCGATAGCAGGAGCAGACGTCGTTCCTGTGGAGGATGTGCGGCTCAGGCTAGCCTTTGCAGCGCTGGGCTGAGAGGGTTTGTTTCCGCTGAAGCGTGGGTTGAGTTGGAGTTTGACCTCGAAGTCTGTGCCGCTTGGCCCAAGGGAGGGGTTAACGGATACCGTAGCAGGTATGTTGAGTTTTGGATTCGCACTCTTGGCGCTCTTCTCGGTAGAAAAGGCATCCAATGCTGCGGAACCTAGTAGATCGACTTCGTATCCAGCGAGCACGAAGCGACCATCTGGCGGGACGAATGACAGTTCACCCGGTCTCGCTTTCCATTGATTGAGCCTGACGCAAGGGTGGAAGACGGGAAGCGAGACAGCGTTTTGTATGCCACCTGCGCATCCCAAGTGTAGTATGAGATCTGGAATTCCCGAGACCTTGGCAGTGAAAGCGATGGTACCATTTGCCACTGCAGCCAAAGGACGGCCAGATGGCGACAGGGTGACTTCGAGTGTTTCCACAATGTCCACATACATCTCATTACTCGTGTGCCTGACATTGGCTCTTCTCCACGGTACCGGTGAGCCTGTCTGACTTGAGGCTGGCGAGGGACCCAATCGCGGACTCGGTCTTCCACCCCCTAGACCAAATGCTCCAGCAGAAGATGGTGTGAGCGAGCTTGGTGTTGAAGATGGTAATCCAACCCCTCCTAGAAGGCTCTTGAGTAGATTCGGAGCTTCAACGACGTCTCTCAGTGCGTTGGGCTCGGTGTTGGCGATGATGCCGCCATCGACCATCTCACTAAGTAGTTGTGCGACGACATCATAGTTTCCTTCGATCTTGCTCGCTAGCAGTGGCGAACCCAGGAAGTCCTCAAGTACGTCGGTGAGGCGGTGGAGGAGGGTGAGAACGGCGAGAGGGTCGGTATCAGCTGATGCCGGGCACAGGAACAGAAGCTGGTCTTGTATTATGCTGTATAGCAGCGTCGGTGGGTTGGTGTTGGGCAGGTATATTAGCGGGGGTCTTGGGGCGGGATGTGCGAGGTAGAGAGGCAGTAGGACAGAAGATGGCGGTGGGCGATTGAGGTACGTGTGTTCGAGGAGCGGGGTGCTAGCGACATTAGCGATGAAACACGTGATGACTGCAGCAGCGTGATCCTACTTGTGCTCATCAAAGATGTAGAGAGCTTCTATTGCGCTCATGGTGTGAGAGTGTCAGCTGCGAGCCATGCGCGTGCGAGGACGTGAGGTTCGCGTCGTGGGGCAGTTTTGGCGGGGAGCTTCCGGGGCTAGACGATCCCTGCATGGCGGCGGCGGCTAGAGCCATGTCGTCCAAACTTGTCGTCGCAAGACCTTTATACGATACAGTCAGGGTCTTGGTTAGATCTCTAGGACACGTCTCGGCAGTGACGGCAATGGCACTGCAACCGCCATCTCCTCCGACCTTTCAAGAAGCCCTCAAGAATGACAGAGCGCAATTCGAGGATTGCACGCCCTGCCGCATAGTTGGTACTGCACTCCCTCGTCGATATGAGCTACCTGACCCAGTACTAATACACACACAGGAAGCGCAACGTTCCTTGGCCTCGGCGCCTTTACCTATGTCTCGGGTCATTCGCAAATCAAGGCCAATGAAGCGGCGATACGAGCCAGCAAAAGCATGTTCGGCATGAGGAGCAGAGGTATCGCTATAACGGGGACAAGCGCTGTCATGGTGGGCCTGGGAGTCTATCGGTGGTTCTCATGACAGGATGGCTGCAGCATGAACTAGATGAGGCACGGCATGTAACGTGTTGGAATTCCACAGAACAGAAAGAGAACTGAGGACCTAGAACAATATTATTGATACCGTCTCCTTCACAAAAAAAAAGCTCTCTCTTGCTATCTACTTGCACACCACTAAATGATGTCCCGCCCCATAGAGAAGGAAAAGAAAGGTATATAGATCCAAAAGCAATGAACACCACAGGATGCGTCTATTAAGCCTCCCCCAATGCGTATGAAAAATGATCCACTAGCCCTATGCGCCGTCTGGGTATGATGCAGGTAGTCGTGATTCGTCGAAGCGTCGTTCGTGTCATTGCCTGGAGTCGGACGAGTGGCCTCTCAGGCTTGGAGATTTGTATGCTATGACATGCGTCCGCGCTTGGGTCCGCCGCCTGACGAGCCGTCTCGTCGGTCGTTGGAGCCATCGACGTTGAAGAAGTCGTTCATCAATCGTCTCTTTTGGCCTGCGCCTGTGCCTAGTTGGAAGAGGTTCTGAGCGGCGGATCGTTGGAGGTTCCGGGTGGACGAGCGGTTCGAGGGACGGCGGGGCGCAGAGAAGGCACGGCGAGCGGCAGCGGACATGTCGGCCGAGGCGGTTTCGTTTGGTGGTTCGGACGGGAAGGCTTGGGCGGCAGAGAATTCGAAGACGTGGTGTAGCGGCGACATGTCAGCCTCTGTGGTCGAGGCTTCCATCTGAAGGGGAGGCGCCGAGTCGCATCGTTGCTCCGTAGCCGTTGGCGGATCCAGCGTGCCTGAGTCTTCCATGCCGGGGTTGCGGTCCATAATGGGCGAGGAGCTCCTGGCACGGTTGCTGTCGAGGTACTCTTCGTCGCTGTCGCTGCTCGACTGCTTGGGCAGGCTTCCATCCAGCCGCTCCGTCGCCCACTGCCGTATCCGCCAGCCCTCTCCGTCGCCCAGGCCCATGTTCTCCTTGTCCAGAAACGCGAGCAGGTCGTCAAGAGCTTCTTGGTAGCCGTCGGTGCGGGCCCTGTCGAGGTCGGCAAGCGCCGACTTATACAAGTTGGTGACGTTTAACGCCGCCGTCCGGAACGACTGGTGCACATCGGGCTGCCGTCTTGTCTTGGGCAGTGACTTGTTGAGGCTGCGCATCGAATCCATGGCGGACAGTCTTTGTCAGGCTCCGCTGAGTCGTGGCCCGTCTTCAGCACACGCACGCGAATGCAACCGCGATGGAGAATGCAAAGTACGAGAGAGTGAGGTGATGAGGGAAGAAAGACAGACGAGAAGGCTATTTACTTGCAGGAAGCGTCGCTTCCGTCGTTGTAGCTGAGGTCGTGGGCCGCTGCGGGGGGCCAGCGCTGTCGTGATTCTTAGGAGTGGTTCCTGGCCCGTGCGCTCATTGCATGTGCCACCCATCACCCATGCACCGCGCTATCCTCACATCACATCACATCTGTCCATCTCTCTCCATCACCATGTCGTTATGACTTCACAGATAGAACGTCTCCCTGTGGAGCTGTTCGAGCTCGTTGCTGCCAGTCTGGAACTACTGTCCTGCAAGAACCTCCGTCTGACTTCCCAGAGGCTGCGTTTCCTGATTCATCCACTCTTTGTAGAATGCGCCTTCTCCCGACTAAAGACTACTCTCGGCTCGCCCTCCCTTGGTCGTCTCGTCAATGTGTCACGGTGTGAAAATCTTCGGGGTGCTGTCAAAGTCCTGCAGATCCAGCTTCTGACCTCCAGTGACTATCACACGCTCGCTGCTATCAGCCGCGTGGGCAGATTCCCTCCACCCAAACGATTTCCCAGGGTGCCTGGCATCCAAGACAGACATGTCCATGACGAGGCAACTACGTTGAAATATGTTCTGGAAAGCAGATATCCGACACGGCTCTACGATAGCCTTGTTAAAGCGTTGCGAGGCTTCACCAACTTGGAGGCTGTTCACTTTTATCCGAGAAATGACCAGCCGGCTGCATGCCGCCGCCTCATCTCAGAAGACGACCGCTTGTTTCGTAGCAGGTGCTTCCAAGTTGTCGTCGATGCTATCGTCCAGACCGATGTTCGTCTGCTCGAATTTCGCATGGCTAAATGCAGACGCGGAACCGCTCTACACAAAGAAGCCACCCTACCGTTTTCGGTGCTCAATGTACCCGCACAATCTCTTCATGCGTTGTGTCATCGCTTTTCGCATCTCCACACTCTCACAATCTCTGTCTTGACCATCTACGACGACGTTTCTCAGGTACCTGGCTGGCAGAAATGGATTGCAAGCATTGTTGCCACAGCACCAAAGCTGAGAAATCTGACTTTGAGTCTAGATCGCAGTGCTTATGTCGCATCTGCATTCCGAAGCTTAGCCTCTTCCTGCACATGTCCCAATCTCCAAGTGTTCCAACTCATGTTCTGCGCATTGCACGCAGACGATCTAGCTTCCATGATCAGCAGTCATTCAGCGACGCTACGACGAGCCCTCTTCTCTGATCTTCGTCTCGTTACCGGTACTTGGTCGTCGATATTACACGCTCTAAAAGAGTGCAAAAAGCTTGAACATCTACGGCTGAGCTCGTTGTCTGAAGAAAACCACCCGATCCAACGCTTAGACGTACGACGGGAGAATCGTGACATGGCCGGTATGTTGGAAGAAATCATCGCCATTTATGACACCCCAGCAGATACGCTAGCCCCTGAGAACAGCAGCTCCGTTGGTCCCCATCATGTCGTGGGCTTGTCGGTCAACCTGCGCGAACGGCTCAATATCACGGTACCCAGTGGATGAACAATTCATCTATGATTGCCAGCGCACGCTGTATCACCTGCTCCCTGTTGTTTGTCAAGACGTGATTGAGGATATCAACTGAGGGATTCACGGTGTTATTCAGTCAAAGGCCGATATTCGTTTATTTTACGACAACTTCAGGCCAATTCCGTGGACGTCACCAAGTGAGACCCGCTGATCCGCCTATCGCTCCATCGTGGAGTGCTTATCGACTTTACCATCTACGACCGTCATGTGGGCTCGGCTCCTCTCTTCGCTCCGATGACCCAACTTTCTTGGTACATCTGGAAACGAGTTGTTGAAGAAGACCGTCGAGACCATGGAGAGAGAGATGGGTTCCAAGATCGAAGATATGGAGAGAGCTCATGCGATTAGAGACGCCAGAGAGACGAATGTCGAAACAAGCATCATCGAAGTAGACACGAGCGATTGGCAGATTTTCCGTGTCGCAAATGGAGGCGGAGCACCCCCAAAAAGACAGAAGATGGCTCACGGAGGGGACAGTGTGTAGTAAGAAGATAGCTGGAATGGACACTGACCTGGTCTATATGACACGGATACTTTGCACAGGCCACTTGGCATAAGACTGAGGGTTAAGCTTCGAACATCTGAGTTCATCTTCAATCGTCTTCGTGGGCTGATATATAAGCCTGACAGGCAGTGCGATGGTGTCAATCATCCTTGGATGACTGTACGTGCATATTTCACGATGATCTCGACCAATGAACACTAGAAAAAGAAGCATAACATGGTTGGCAAGCGAGTGAGCCAGGCAAGCGAGTGAGCCACCCCACCAACTTTGCGCAACCTACGACCTCAAATCACTTATGGCTCTACCTACCCCAACTCAAAACGCCTCTCGTGAGGCTGA